TTTATTTCCGTCGATAAGTTAGGTAGCCGTCGTCGTTAATCGTAATAACATCGACGAAGTTTCTCGGGAACCGCTTAGTATAGTACCTAATTATACGGTTTAATATATAACCTTCTATATATAGTACTTTCGGGTTCGTATTACCGTAAAAGCCGTAAATTATTATATTAATAATGATATCTCGTAACGATCCTATAAAATCTAGTTCTAAATCGGGAATCTCCGCGCGAATAACCTTATTTACGTTACTTACTTATAGAAACCGGTCGCGATCGTTAAGGTATAAGAAGAAAAGGTAATATAAGTACGGAAGCTTACGTTTCTAATACTCGATCGTTTAGATATACCCGGTACAACGGCCGAAATAATTTAATTTCGTAATATCCCGTAGAAGTTATTATATCTTAATATAGAATACGCGCGTTACGATATCGGGTTTATCGTTAACCTCGCTTCTACGACGTAATTCGCGCGTAATTTCCGGCTATCTTAAATTAGCCGTTATCGTAATAAAGAAAGTAGGTTTCTTAAGCTTCCGTATAATAGCTATCGAATCCTAATAATATTAAGATATAAACCGTACGCTTCCTTTATAGCTCGCCGGTAGAATAATCCTCCGTCCGAGCTCTACCGCGTTCGTATCGTTTTGTTAGATAACGTCTTATAAGCTAGAATATAAATCCGTACGTAATTTATCTTAATTAAACCGATGCTATAAAAGCTACTCTTAATTAATAAAAGCCTAAGCGTTTACGACGAATTATTAAAATAACCGAGCGAAAGTAAACGGTATATATAAATTTCGTAATCTTCCGTATAGATAATACTAGAAGTAATTACGGAGACTTAACGTCTTTCTTATTTTCGTATAGTTATACTCCTAAAGGCGTAGGTTCGTATCGTACCTTATGCCTCCGTATAAGAACATAAGTAGATATATTAACGGAATATAAGTAGGATATTTATAATTAATTCTCCTATACGTATATAGTCTTAAGCTATCTTCTCGTCGTTTTATTAATACGATGTCACGTTAATCCGACTTATTTCCGTTAGGAAGGATAGATGCTACTTTATTTATAGTCGGTAAATTTTTTCGTCGTCGATTTCCGTTCCGTTCTATAATTAACTCTAAGTTTATTATTAATTTAATCCGTATATCGTTTAAAGGTAAGCCGTTCCGCTTTAATTTAATAGTAAGTATACGTAGGCGTTCGTAAGCGGTTATATAAGTACGGATATTATAGTGGTACGGTAGATCTAGGCCACGTAGCCTTTTCGATGTATATTTATATAAGTCGCGTACTTATATTTTCATTAGCTAGACTTAGACCTATAGATATTAAGACCTATAGCTATTTACTCGTTTCTTGCCATGCCTTTTTAGCTATCCTCGTTGCCTTTTCTAGTCTTCCCTTTCCTAGCTACCGTTTTAGCTAGCCGATTAACCGATTATAGCTATTTATAGCTGTGATCTTAGTTAATCGGCACTAGGCTAGTTATTAGTAGTTAGGTAGCCGTTTTCGTGCCTCCGTTAGCGTGCCTACGCTGCTCCTGTTCAGTAGCGACTACCTAGTAGCTCGAACCTTACTTTATCTTAGGAGTAACCTTTTGCGACCGTTTTTATAGTTATTAGGTTTAGAATTCGTCGATTAAGAGATTCCCTGTTTTTTTAGTTAATTAGGAGCTATTTTCGTGGCTCCAGAGCCGTTTTCGTGGCTTTCGGATTAAGCCTTTTTAGGTAGCTGGATTAATAGGAAAGGCAGATAACCATGGCGACCATTAATAACCACGCCTTCCCATCAGCTTTTAATTAGCTTACCTGAAAGCTCGTTCGCCGATTAGTAGGAACCCTTATCCTCGTTTCTTAAATGTTTCTTTTAAAGGAGCTATGCCCGTTTTTACCCGGTTTCGTCTTCGTTTTTACTAGTACCTAGATGGCAGTTTTTCGCCCTTAGTTAATCTGACTCCGTTACCGCTACTACCCCTTTTTACAACACGCGCTTGAAGGCATCCGTTCTTTACCGATTAATTTATTTTAATTGCAAGAGGCTTGCCGATAGCTCCGATCGCCTTTGTTTTATCCCTTCTAGCCAGTTACGGCACCTGGGGAGGTTTCTCCTTCCTAACCGATAGGTGCTACGATGCCCTTAATTACCAAGAAGATACCGACATACCTTATACCCACGAACCTGATCGGGACCTACCGATCAGCGCGATAGACCTACAGACGATACCGCGATACGAGATAGATACGATATTGAATAAGACAGCCCAGAAATAGCCACAGGAAAGAAACGAGTTATAGGTTAATGCCTAGAGACCTCTCTTATCGCCCTTACCGATATGTGGTTGGTAGGAAGAGCCAGAGCCCCTAGAACCACGTACAGAGGAGGGATCGAGGGTCAAGGGAAGCCCGGTAGATGCTGCCGGACGAATATATAAACGGTTACCAGAAACGAGTCATAGAAACGGGCATGAACAGGATATATCAGTTAGTTTATAGGATCAGGATTAGTTAAAAGGATCGGCAAAAGACAGCCATGGACGAGAAGGACGGAGATTACGTTGCATCGTATGGGATTGTTTCTTTGTTTCTCACGGGAGCTACGCTTGTTTTACCTACCCGTTGCAGTTCCTGTTTCCTGACTGTTGATCCCTGTTGTTTCTTAATGGCCCTGATGGACCTGGCTCGCTCCTAGTTGATTAGGGTTAATTAGGAATAGGTTGATTAGGTCAGTTATAGTTATAGCTCCGCTAGCCTAGTTGTTATCGGACCTTTCCTGATCTTTCCTATTGTTTCCTGTTGATCGTTAATTGAACTGGCTTAGCTCCTAGTTGGCAGCGATTGAATAGGTTCGGGATTGATTAGGTTTAGGATTAGGCATAGTCAGGCACGGCTACAGTCAGTCACCTACCCCACCACCCACTTGTTACTATTGCAATCGCTCCCAGTTAATAACCTATTTTATCCTAACTTATCCTGTTGGCCTTTAATTGAACTGGCTAGCTTTTAGTTGATCAGGGTTAATCGGGATTAGGTTGATTAGGCTTAATAGGAAACGAGGACCACCGCACCTATTGTTGGGAGTTTAATTACTCCTTACGGATTAATTAAACTAAGGAGGCTGTAGTAGTACGGTAGATCTAGGCCACGTAGCCTTTTCGATATATATTTATATGGGTCGCGCACTTATATTTTCATTAGCCAGACTTAGACCTATAGATATCAGGACCTATAGCTATTTACTCGTTTCTTGCCATGCCTTTCTAGCCATCCTCGTTACCTTTTCTAGTCTCCCCTTTCCCAGCTGCCGTTTTTAGCTAGCCGATTAACCGATTACAGCTATTTATAGCTATGATCTTAGTTAATCGGCACTAGGCTAGTTATTGGCAGTTGGGTAGCCGTTTTCGTGCCTCCGTCAGCGTGCCTACGCTGCTCCTGTTCAATATATAGGTTAAACTATTTAATCTCGTATAATATTTATTATAAGAAACTAAAATCTAAACCGGGATTTAGATCTAGACGTTTCCGTCCGGCTTCGTCCGTATCGTAGAAGTATAGTTATACCTATCGTAAAGGTACGCTAGCCTCCGCTTCGAAAGGCCTAGTTCTATAGTAAAATATACCTTAGATTTAAAATACCGTTAAGCTATAACTAATTACGTTCTTATTCGTTATTATATATTCGATAGACGTAAAAGTAAATACGTAATTATACTACCTTAAGTATTACTTAAAATCTTTCGCGCCAGGAATATCCGAATCTAGTAACTCTCGTATAAATTAAGGTAGTTCCGGATATTCCTATAATATAATATCCCTTTATCGATAATATTTAATTACTTTTACGTCTTCTATCGTTAAGCTCTTTAATTATTCGTTTCTTTAATATAAAGCGTTATAATATTTATATTAAATAATTATTAATGGACCTATATCGTATTTAGCTATACGAATACCGTTTAACGGAATCTACCTTAGATATAGTTAGTTCGGGGTATTTTTAATTAAAATAAAAGGTATAGTAGAGGTAGCGTTTTCGTAAATAGTAATATCTAGACGGGCCGACGCCGCGCGACTTCGTATATCTAGTATAGGAGGAGGGGAGAATCGGGTCGGCGATATAATAAAAGGAGTAAGTAGTCGGGTTAGTAATGCTATAGGAGGTAATAGTTAGATCGGTAACGTAAGAAGAGGCGTAAGTCGGGATATTATTAGGTTTCTTCGTCGTTTCTTATTCTAAGTCTTTCGATTTTAATTAGATTCGTTTATAACCGCGCGGTTCCGTAATTACCTAGCATTAAGATCTAGATCTTATAACGGTTATTTTCGTTTTTAATCTCGGTAGGCCCGATAGGTTTTATAATAATTATTATTACTATATATTCGTCTTATAAAGTCTATTTTTAGACGATATTAGCGATACCTCGTATATTTAATAGTAGATATAATAAAGCCTATATAAAAATAATAAAATACGTATAAAGATATACGAATACGTATATAAACCTTATAATATATAGAATAATAATAAAACGCGTATATTATCGATTATTAAATCTTTAAACCCGTACGGATTACTTATATTATAATCGCGTATTATTAAGAACGCGTATATAAAACTCTTTCGCGTAAACGAATAAGTATAGATAAACGTAAACGCGTATATACCGTGCTATATAATAATGATCTCTATACCTAGGTATGCGTATTTATAGCCTAAATATAGCATAATATACGTTTATATACGTAGTTATATATATATATACGTATACTTACCGTAGCGTATAGCTTCGTATGACTTTATAAAGCGGCTTACGTAATTATAACCGTTTCGTTATTTTCGTAAACCAATTACCTTCGTAAGACTATGGCTTATTTCAGACTATGGCGTAGGTTTGATCTTAGTATATTAGATGTGGGTAGGTAGAGGTAGGACTTTTCGCACCAGAGGCGCAGCCCGAAGGGGGGGGGGGTGGGCGACCACCAACCAACAGGCACGTGACAACAACACCACGAAAAGGAAAAGAAATACGGCAATCTGTGGATGATAGGTTACCAATCTCGTCCAAGAGTCGCATTGGGCTATGCCCGAAACCTCGCATTTCTCTTCCACCCGACGCGACGCAGCTGACAACCTCTTTGCTCATCAGCAAGTTGCCCACCACCCACCCAGGCCAGGCTGCCTTCCCCTTTCGGATGGTAGAGGCTCGGTTTGCACTTATAACCGCCGGGGAGCAGAGAGGCGAAGTGCTCGCCGTCCTGCAGACATGTATATATGTCCGTATGTATGTTGTATGTATGTATGTATGTATCAGGCGACGGTTGAAGTTCCGAGGCGCACGAAATAGGGGTGTGGTTCGGCATTTGAAGCAATTTTCACCACGCGGGCGTTCCCACGTACCTGCACACGCCTGCGTACTAATATATATATATATAGCAATTTGTGCATATGTATACACATATATACTGACATCCACCCAAGCAGCACATGGGCCCCAAAAGGGAGAGGGAGAGGAAGGGGGAGTTAGGGGAGGCATTCTCCCTTTTCCCGTCCAACTGATCAATCGGATATTAATGGGTGCGTCTCGAAGTCGCAGCACGGATCGACGGTCTTCCATCGGAAGAATGTAATACGCTGTAGGATATTCAGGATATTCAATGTGCCTAGTATTACCGATGTACAAATTCAAGACACCGATGAAGAGAGGGATTCATCGGATTAATACCAGTACGGATGTTCTCTATACCTATAGGTAAGTACATTGGTTATGTACATGGGTTATGTACCTAATGCAGGTATACACCTATGCGGACGCATTAGCAACGTCGAACCGCTGTGCGTTTTGGTGGCGGTTCCTTTCGTGGCCTCGCTGCCTTAATCGTAAGGCACGCAAGACGAGTTGAAAGGTAAACCTAGTTGATCAATTGAAGGTGTAAAAACTAAACTGCTAAAAGGGCTTAAATACAGCGTTTTACGAACAGTTAGCTGTTGCGTGTTTTTCTTCAATTCCACCAATCACAGGCCTCCATTCTGGATGCCTGAGGATCCACACCGCTTGTGAAATGTGACCGGTTCCCATGATTCCATAATTTGATATATTGGAATCGGCGAAAAGACGAAAATCTTCCACCCTCCGAATTCGTCGTCGGGTTTCGCATGTATTTGCACGCCCGGCGCGATGGACTCAGACACCGCGGGGTTCTTCGATGAGCCGGCCGATTACTATCCCCCATCACCGCCGCCCAAGACCCAGGCTTATGCTCTGCAGTCGGGGGGGGCCATCACACTTCACCTGGTGGGCCACAGCCCGTTGGAAGCCCACCACCTGTGGAACGGGAGTCGCATCATCTCCCGGTACTTTGAGACCCATGTGCCCGAGGTCCAGGGCAGGACCGTGCTCGAACTGGGAGCCGGCGCCGGCCTGCCCAGCATCGTGTGCGCCATCCTGGGGGCGCAGAAGGTCGTCGTCACCGACTTTCCCGACCCGGACCTGGTCGCTACCATGAAGAAGAACATCCTCGGCTGCGAGCTCGTCCCGGCCGGCGGCGGCAGTCCCGAGAGCGCGCCCATCGTCGCCGACGGCTTCGTCTGGGGAGCCGACCCGACCCACCTCCTCGCGCACCTGGAGCGCGGCAGTGACGGGTTCGACGTGCTCATCCTCGCCGACCTGCTCTTCAGGCACTCGGAGCACGGCAAGCTGGTGTCTACGGTCGCGGCGACGATGCGCCGGCGGCGGGAGAGCCGGGCGTTCGTATGCTTCACGAGCTACCGGCCGTGGCTGCAGCACAAGGACCTGGCCTTCTTCGACCTCGCGCGGGAGCGGGGCTTCCTAGTGGACAAGATCGTCGAGGAGAAGACGGACAGGGCCATGTTCGAGGACGACCCGGGCGACGAGGACGTCCGGAAGACGGTGACGGCGTTCACCCTGCGCTGGCCGGAGGCGGCGTGCGTGTAGGGGACGCAATACGAGGCTATGCTGTTATTGTTATCGTCTACGTAGCGACGCCGTCATTCTCTGGTTGAAAAACAAATAGGTCCCCTCCTCCCTCGGCGACGAACAGACCATCTCGTATCGCAAGCGTGATGTGTGTGGTGTGTATGAAGTACCTACCTAGCGAGGGCGTTGCGCGCAGTGCCCCCGCGCCTTGGCCTACCTACCTACCTACCTAATGCCGCAGACGCCCACCACCTGGGTACGACATGCTTAGGCCTGCCTGCTTGACCGCTTGCTTGGTGGGATCGTGCTCTTTTTATTTGAGTGTATTTTTAATTTAACCTTGTCCCCTTGCCTTTCGAAAGCCGTTCTCTGCTCTCACCGCGTCGTCCTCCCTTTCCTCATCATGCGGCCACGCAGAGTCGAGCTGCCCTCGGCACCGCATTCGGCCTCGTGCTGCGCGTCAAATGCAGGTTATATTAATACTGGCGGCTTGCGAGCCACCGCTCGCCCCCTGGATTGGATGGTCGGGGGCAGCCAAAACCGCTCAACGCCTCCCTTCGCACGGGATCGCGGCTTTCTGACCTCGACATCGACATGCCCGCGGCTAGGTACATAATCTCAACGACCCAAGGTACGGATTCAATCCTGCCAGGTTCCCTCTGCACCCCCTGCCACATGCCTGGCTGCTGGCGTCGTGCTATGTGGGCCGGAACGTGGCGGTGCACGTCGCCGATTGGACGCCAGCTGGCCCTGTTCTCGCTGCCGGTGCTACCGCTGTCCTCACCGTCCCAAGCATTCTTCATCTCCCCTCTCTTCCCGTCTCCCCCCCTCCCCCCCCGTCAACCTCAACATCTGATCTCTCCGTGATGTGCAAGTATGGTGTTGATTCTACCTATATGCGCGCACACGCACGCGCATGCCGCCCGTCGGGTCGACTGCCCAGCCAGTCAGCCTCTCGAAGAAGCGCGAAGGCAACGGCACGAAGGCGCTCGCTAGCCATCATGACTTTCCATGCAGCCAATGATTCGACCAGTACCGGCCGGCAACGAGTCGAGGCGCCGCAGACTAGATACAAACATGGCATCACGGCCTCAGTTAGCACTGGGTCTTGATTCGATCCGGAAATAGCCCTTGTGTCCCGCCCAACGGTCAACCAACTAGTCAGGTCTCCGCGTAAAAATATTGGCTAAGCTGCATCCTGTGCGGGTTGCGGTTACAGTAAGGCATAGCCTCGCTCGCCCGCTCGCTCACTTCTTCACACATCGCTCCCCAGTGCTGAACACCAAAAATACTACTGGTCCCGTTCCTCCCCGTGCGTTTTCTTCTCTCCCTTCCCCATTCTTGCTCTCGCCGTGCCACGTATTTCTAGCCCACCCCCGCTTCCCCCCTGAGTGTTTCGTGCGAGGGAGGAGGGAGAACAGAATCATCGCTGGCGGGACGATCCTACCGAACGAACACCCCAGTGCCTAGCCGCGGCCGGCGCCCTCACCCAGTAGTAGTATGGCATGGGAATTGTCGTCACAATGGTCGCCGCGATGGAGCTTGTCGCAACTCCTCCTCTTCACCAGGCTCCTGCAGGCGTCGGGGACGCTCGTCACCGCTATAATGAACGGCTTCCTCCTCGCCTATGTCCACCTGAACCGACTCGGTCTGGCGAATAGTATGTTTTGCTTGGAAATGATGGTTCGTAACATCATCCATTACCTATGTATTGCTGGGGCTTCTTTTTCTTTTCCTCTTTTCTGTTTCCGAGTTGGGCAATTGCCAAGTGTTTCTTTCAATTGACCGGCAACCAGATCTGCGTCGCATTCATCTATTCGAGTATTGTGCTATTAATGCAACATGTCGGCAGCCGACGGCAGAGAACGAGCACGACGCTGATCGCCGTATTCGTCGTCGGCGACCTGATGTTCAACGGTCTGACGATTGCTATCATAACCCTGCTGGCGCGAGCGGGACTGCCCTCGGACTGCCATGGGCTAACACGAACGAACGGTAATTCATCGGGAAGCTTCTCTTTCCCCGTACTCGTCGCGCTGACTTCTCTGGCATAGTGGAGCCCGGCGACGCCCCCGACCTCCCGCGTGAGGGGTTCGACACGATACGATTCGGCAACAAAGAGCGTGGTGAGAAGGGGCAACTGGACAGATACTGTTCCATGGAACGGGGCTTCTACTGCATTGCCGTGGCACTAGTGTACGGGGACATTTTCCCGTTTTTCTCGCAGGCTAATGCCCTTGACTGATGGCGACAGGTTTACCTATACGATTACGGTGGTCTTGGCCGTGCTGCGGATCTTCGAGCGGCGCTGGACAGGCCAAGACCGATTACACACCTTCGCTTCGGTAGACAACGTATATCGGCTCGATCACGTAGGGTCGAAGGTCAACAGTCCCAGTACGGGTAGGGCCCCGGAGAATCTCGAGCCGTCGACCGAAGGAGTGATGCCGGCACCCAGGACGAGCCCCATCTTACGGATCCCACCGGTCGTCGTTCCGTCCGGCGGCGCACCCGGACCTCGCGTACCCCACGGCCAAGCGCAGTCGGAGCCGTTCCCCGTCTCGCCCGTCTCCGCCGCCTCCCCGACCTCTCAGGTGTCTCCTATTTCCACCGTGGCACGCCACCACACCTCGTTCGCCTCTTCGGCCGCGCTGGACGCGTCGATAGGGGGCTTAATGGTGAATCATACTATGGAGTCCACGGCAGAAGCGGCCATGATCACTGACGGATATCGTCACCCACCGCAGCCCGGGATGCCGTCGCTGCCGCCCTACTCGCCCGGCCAATCCCAGGGGCGGCTCATGGTCGGCCACGGGGACGAATCGAACGAGATTCGGCTGAGCGGGTACGTGAAAGGCGAAACGAGAGCGCAGGAAATGAAGGACTCGGGACATGGTATATAGGATGGGATACATCCTCGTCCTTTTTTTCCCTTTTATCTACTGAGGGACAAAACTAGTCGGAGCTGCTTTCGGGAAGATAGAGAAAGCAGCTGTGTAATTGTCGTTGTATTCTGTGTTTCCACGAGCGATGGCGCCAGGGTTCGGTATTTTGCCCCCGCTTTACTACAGGTCCCCCTAGCCGGGAGGATAATAGGAGATGCACAGACATCTTCGCCGACTGCGTGCAGATATGTATCATACGAAATTCAATATGCCTACACCCACGATGTATTCATAATGGATGAGGGAAAAGCGAGAGAGAAATGGAAGGGATTCCAGAAGAAGACGGGGGAGCAAGCAGCGATGACCTCCTCGCTAGGTGCACATGCTTCGAATTCTGTGTGTCTGCGTTGCCATACCTCGATACCATGCCCTTCCCAATACTCCCATAACCCCCTATTCATCCTAGGCCCCGCTGTGCCGGCACCACAGCGCAACGTTGTATTAATCCGCACTAGACGGCACAATCGAGTTGCAGCAGCTCCCGCGCCCGCGCCGTCCCGTCGCCACCTGTCTCTCTCTCTCATCATCATCATCATCCACCACCATCAGCCCACCCTCTTCTCAACCTAGACGACGATCTGCGGTTGTTGCACTGTGAGCCCGGTCACGCTGTCGCTGCTCTATTTGTTGCAGTTCGGCCACGACCGGTGGTCGCGTCCGTCGCAGTCTGTTGTGTGCCCACGTACCTGTCTTGCCTCGGCTTGCGGTCAAGCGATCCGCAGCCTGCCCAGGACCTTGGAGCTGTACCGGATCTATTTTGGGCCTGCAGGCCAGGCTGAGCTGTCCCTCTGTCGAAGGCGACGTTGCGCGAGCCAACCTGCTTCAGAATAGGCGGTTGCATTTCCCCGTCTTGTCCTCTTCTCGGCCTCTCCATCCCTCGGCTTTCCCATCCGAGAGGGCTTGTCACAAGACCCTCCCCACACGCTTCGCCCTCCCCCTTTTCCCACCTATCCACGCCATACCCCTCCCCCCCCCCCTTCCGGTCAGCAGTGCTCTCTCAGCACACCCACACGCAGGACCACTGGTCGGCTGTTACCGCGCACACTCACCCCGCAGAATGCCCGCAGCCACCACTACCGCTGCCGAGGCACGCGACCAGTCGCTGAGCGCGCAGCTAGAGCGGGACGGCTTCGTGGTCGTGCGCTCGATCCTGAGCCCCGCGCAGCTCTCGTCGCTCCGCGCCGCCGCCGAGCGCACCGCCGCCCTCGCCCGCTCCGGCGCCTGGCCCCACGTCCGCACCGTCGGCAAGCAGTTCCCGCCCTGGACCTGGGCCCCGGGCGTCGGCATCTGGGGGGTCCAGCACCTGCTGAACCCGGCGCTGCCGGACGCGCCCGTCTTCGCCGCGAGCTACTTCGGCGACGAGATCCTCGGCGTCGCCCGGCAGCTGCTCGCGCCGCGCCGCGACGGCCCCGGCCCCGACGCCGCTGCCGCTGCCGCTGCCGCTGCGCGCGACGACGAGCTCGTCATGGAGCTCTACAACCTGCTCGTGCGGCCCGACGGCGCCGGCTTCGAGCTGCGCTGGCACCGCGACGACATCGCGGCGTCGGCGACGGCCGACGAGGAGCTCGCTCGCCTGCGCGAGCCCGCCTGGCACGCGCAGTGGAACCTCGCGCTCTGCGACGGCGACGCGTCGCTCGTCGTCGTGCCCGGGTCGCACGCGCGCGCCCGCACCGACGCCGAGCGCGCCGCCCCGCCCTACGACCCCCGCCTCCCCGGCCAGCTCCCCGTCCGCCTCGACGCCGGCGACGTCGTCTTCTACGACAACAACATCCTCCACTGCGGCCGCTACGACGCCCGCCGCGAGCGCCTCAGCCTCCACGGCTCCGTCGGCCACGTCGCCGGCGGCCGCCTGCGCGCCCGGAACGTGCTGCAGCATGGGGTTGGGGACGTGAGTCTTTTTCCTCTCCCTCTTTTCTTTTTCCCCCTTTCTCCCCTCTCCCATCTTTTCCCCTCCCCGATATAATACCGCCCACCCTCCGCCATCATGTCTACCTGCCGCCCGTCTTGAAACCACGTCCCCTTCGCATCAGAGCCCCGAACAGGTTTACCTCTTGGTTTTCCTTGCTTTTCTTCTTCTTGACATCCATCTCTACTTTTATCCTGACTTCTTTCCCTTTCCCCTTCCCTTTGCTTGGTGCCACCTCGCCTAGTTCCGCTCTATTTAGCCTCTTCCAGCCCTCAGCACTCAAAAAGGGGGCTTCGTTTCGGACTCAGGAAATGACGTGTCGCTGTTCTCGCAATGCCACAGAAGCATCCAATTACCGATGCATGTCCCCCCCCCCCTCTCCCCCTCGCCAAAAAAGCCTGCTCTCTGCTATGCCTAATTACCACCTCTCGTCTCAAGTTCTATGCCTAAGCACAAGGAGGGGTGCTAACTCAACACGTCGCAGTGGGTGGATCAATGCGATTTCAGCAGCTTGGATGAGAAACTGCGCGTCAGGGCGGAGGGGATGCGCGCACGGCTGGTCAAGCTGGGAAGGGAGAGCGGTGACGTGGGATTCTCCCTAACTGAATAATAATATCACGACAAGCACGAGGCTACCGAGGACGAAGATCACGATTGGAGGGATGGCGCGACATAAACCATTAGGTCTCATCATCTAGGGCGCATATAGTAAGCGAGGGGAAAATGCAGTGAGATGGTGCAAACTATATAGTGCTCCAGTATAGGACATCTATCTGTCCCTTCCGATATGTAACCTGCCCTAGCTGTGTACGTCGAAGAGTATTTGCGCAAGCAAAAGGATATATACATCGAAAGATACGCTGCCGCCGAGCCAGTCATGCCGCGGTAGCCCACGGATCCCGCACATCGACATTCGATTGTCATCTCCCCCTAGGCCTCTATCGCTTCCATAACTCTAACTAAGGGATAGCGTCCCGTCTGTCGTACTAGAAGGCGCCGATGGAACGCGGATCCATATGGCATGGTGCGGACGCGCTCTAGCCGGTTCGGAACAGCATAATGTTCGCGGGGAACACATTGATGTTGTCCTGCCACTTAGCCAGGCTCGTGCCCTCCCTGTCGATCATGCTCAGCGAGCCGATCGTGTTGAGAGCATAGATGTTAAGGTTCCTGGTCGAACCCTCGATCGAGACGATCCGTGACTGGCAGTTCTCTCCGGCCTCCACCGTAGAGCAAGCTAGAGAGACGCGGTTAGCGTGTTCGCTGTTCTTTCTACTCCTCCTCTACGTCCCAACTACCGAATAAACAGGACAGTAGCGAGTAGATAGGCTGATTGCATGTTGGAGGGGACAGAAACTTACTAGTGCTGTAGTTATTGAAAAACGAGTAATGGCCGGCCCCGTAGACGAAGATGTCGGAAGAGTCGATAATCCTCAGTCCCCATGCGTTGGCGCAGTTTCCCGCGACGCCATTACAAGAAGCGGAAAAGTCAGGGTCGTTCAAGCTTTCTACTACGGGGAAGGGTTTGATGGCATCCGGCAGCGGCTGGTAGTACCTTGAGAGGCATTAGCGCTAGTCCTGATGGGAGTTTTGGCCGCGTAACCTACGGAGTCTCCGTCTGGAGCATGCTGGCGAATATGTTCTTCGTGTTGACCCATTGGTAATTGTACAGGTGGTTGTGCTCAGCCGCCGTGCCGACAAGCCAGATGTTTCCGACTGTGGATTCGATGACTAACTCACTCATTAGCCTTACAAATCAGCCCTTAAAAATGGGAGTAAACGAGCTGTTCTTACGGAGACCCCTGCCCGAGTAGATAGTAATCTGAGTATTAGTAGAGTCTTCGATGTCGTGATCGGCGGCCCTGAGGATGCATTAGTCTGGTGTCGGACGGCATTATTAAGCAGGTAATAGCAAACCATAGCCATGTGTTCTCCATATACAAGTTCGAGGCCTGCGACGTGACGTGCATCATCATGTACGCGCCAATGCATTTGGGGTCGATATTGGCGGATCCCGGCTGTTTCAAGCATTCGGCGATGGTGAACTGAGACCCGGTAAACCCTCCGATTCTAACGTGGACATCCCACATACCGCTGGGAGCGCCAGACGAGGCGAGATTCCACTCGATCAGCACGGCGCCCGGCGTAGGCCCCTGAGTGCCTATGACAAAGTCGGTAAATTCCACTTTCCCAACTTCTCCCGATTGAGATCCCACTTTCAGGACGGGTTTAGGGTTATTCATGTCTCCAAAGAAGGATCCACTACCCATAATGACGGGATATCCTTCTCCAATGATCTTGGTGCCCCCGGGAATGTTTAGGGTATTGGTGACTTTGTAAAGCCCATAATCTAGGAAGAGGACCTTCCCACTAGAAGCCGCATTGTTGATGGCAGATTGCAGCGCCGCAGTCTATCACGCCGTCAGCACGGTGGGGTTTTCGGGAATTATAATCATAATAAAAATAAATAAATAAAAACCCCTTACATCGTCGGCCGAGGCATCACCTCTAGCTCCAGAACTTCGAGCGCTTACGAAGTCAGATGCGGCGAGGTTTTCATACTGGGGCTTTGATCGAGAATAATAGCCGTCGTCACCAAGGAGAGAGGCAGGCCGGTTGTTTGGAGTGATGGCGCCCTGGAACGTCCTGGGCCCGTCGGGGGTGTACTGGTGGCCTTGGCCCCACCCGGCAATGGTCGTGGAGCCTCCTTCGAGGAGCGTTCCACTTGGACCCCTGACTGCGACAGGGACGTTCCGGAGATTCAGATTCTCCAAGATGATACTACCAGCCGTGTCGGGCTTGGAACCGGGCTGGACAGCAGTCGTGATGCCGACCGAGGTGTCTGTGAAAGTGCTGTCGATAATTGTGACAGAGCCCACATCGAGGCTGTCGGCGCCTCCGGCCGTAATATCGATTCCGGTCTGGCAGTTGTTGATCTTGAGGCCGATGTAGGTCCAGCCCCAGTTCCAGAGTTGAATAATGGCTGCAGGTTTGAGGTTAATACCAAAGCTTCGGTGTCCATACTAAATGAGACAACTTACCAGTTTTGCAGTTGTTGAAGACCAAATTACGCATCGTATACTGCTGGTTACCCATGGAGGCTCCTGTCGCGCCTCCATTGAAGGTTAAATCGCTCATGAAGCCGCCAGAGCCTTTAAAAGTCAGCGTCAGGACGCCAAGCAGGGTCGCTTAATATTTCGACTCACCACTCTCGATAAACAGTCCCACGTGAACGACACTGGGATCCGTCGGCATGTTAAACTCGATGTTGATCAAGCTAGTTGCCTGCGAAGTCGGCCAGTGGATACCAGTTGCCGGCGTCGCCGGCGCGATATTAGTAGTGTCAAAGACAAAGTTCCGAATTTGACGATAGAACACGTTTGTCGATACCCAGTTCAAGTTCTCCGTGTAGTACGGGTTACCGTCGATCAACCCAAAGCCCTGGAAGTTAGGCGTAGCTTTGAAGACGGGACGGTTGTTCGGGTCGCCAATTAGCTGAGTAAAGTAGGGAGGGACGATGGAAGACGAGATGACATATGTCCCGGCCGGGAAGTAAACTATCGCCGGCGTCGTCGTAGTAGAGGCCTGTATGTGTTAATGCTCGGTCGCTCAGAGAGAGAACTCGCCGCCTCTGGATGGTATGCGGTACTTACGCATCCCTGCAGGCATCTGTTGTTGGGAGTATTCATGGCTGCCGTGATAGCCGCAGTATCGTCCGTACTTCCATCTCCTGTGTCGAATTTTAGCCGTCGCCCTTCCGACTGTAGCGTTCCGCCAGGCAAACGAACCCTTGGCCCCGAAGTCCCTCACATTACGGAACACAGTATATCCATTGCCTGCGAAGGGCGCGACACCTTGGTCTATTCTAGAGTTAGCCGGTGACCGCACTGCGCGTTCTCTCGGAAGTCCTCACGAGCTATGTCTTCGAGCCAGTAGGCATTGACGCCGATTGTGAGGCTAAGCACAGCCAGAATAAGCGTCTGGAATTTCATCGTGAAGTCCGGTTTGCCGTTGACGTGGGTAGAGAGGAGAAAAGGGAACATAACCGTGCTGGGGCAGACAGGGCACTCATTTTATATGAGCAAGAACCTCAGGGGGTTAGGGGATAGGGTTTCGAGTTGTCACAAGACGCCGGCCACCGCAGCTAGCTCAGGTCATCCACATCGGACGAGAATTACCACCAAGTAACGTGCACCACCAAGCCACCGGAGAGAGGTTGAGATGGCTGCGCATGTAGCAACCACATCGAACCAACTCGCTGGACCCAATCGACGACGCAGCGAGCTACAGCCCATGAGACCAGAAAAAAGCGGCCCGGGGAGGTCGGCCGCCAGCGAAGGGGCTGACGATCTCTGATAGGTAGGTAGGGTAGGTTAACACCTGTCAAACCCGACCAAGACATGGCATTCCCTTGAAGAAACGATCCACCAAGGTAGTATTGCGGGGAGAGAGAGAAGGGGGGGAGGGTTTCAGAGGTCACACACGCACACACACAGAAGGTAGGAAGGTATGTATAATGTGCGTACGCTGCAGATACGTAGTAGAAGGAAAAACCGTAAAAATGATATCCGAGCCAAGGCATTGTGGGGCCGAGCGCATCTCAAAGTCATCTCTTCTTCGCGGCAGCATCCAAGGATATGGCCGCTTAGACACGTCTAGAGGAGGTGAGGAGAAAGGGGGTGTGTGTAGGGGTCAGGCTCGACCCCGGGTCGAGTTTCTCCTGCTTGATGTGGCATCGGCCGCTCAGGTACGATGCGAGACGTGATAGGGTGGGAGGTTGGACGTCGGCTTGATGCTAAATTGGTCAGGACGTTCCAGATAGAGGTTGACGTTTCAAGCATGTGATGTCTGGAGCCGCGAGACATTCGGGCCACATGTAAGTCAACGCGCAAATCACCGACACGGACTGGAGCGCATCTGACGCGGTTTCGCGCCAGCGCACCCGGCCGCCTGGATTCCGGATGTCATTCCCAGGCATGCCGGCAGCGCGGGCAGCCAGGTTTTACAAGCACCTGCCACGCAAATTGATCGAAGCCCGGTCCTGGCGAGCTGGAGCCGAGGGAGGGAGGGATCGTCAAAAGGTTCGTGGCCTTCCCTCTAGCTGGACGGCTTTTCTCGTTGCTGCCGGGAGGCTAGACGGCTGTTCATTCACTCGTGCGTCGCGTTGCATCCGCGAAGTCAGGTATTTTGAAGAACGGGCGCTGCCGAGATTATTACTGGCCCCCTCCCCGTTCTGTCTCCCTTGGCAGCATCGAAGAGGTCTCCGCCTCCCGGCCTCAGCTGGAGACAGGCAGACGGAGAGGAAGAGAGAAGGGGGGCATGTAGAAGGGACGTCGGTGGAGGCTTGAGCGGGACAGATGCCGTGCAGGGGACGGCCCGATTGGTGTCGATGAACCCAGAATGTTGAGCCAGAGAAAGAGGAGGGATCTGGAAGGTGATTGAGTCGGCGAAATTACAAATCTGGGGGAATTCGGGGTTTTTTCTAGCGTTCCGTCGGGTCTCATCCTGGGCGGCTGCGGTCGCGGTCCACGGCGGTTTCAAGGCTGTCGTTTTTATGAGGGACCCGGAAGGCGGCACTACAAAATCTCTACCTCCTCTCTTTCCGTTCCGTCATCGTCATCGTCATCGTCCTCATCATCATCCTTGTGTACTCGCCGGGTACCCAGCTACAAGGCCTCACCCCGTAGGGACTCCGTACAATACCTGCTATGTACACGCGTGGTGGGCGATGGCTTGAGCAGCTTGGCCTCCTTTTGCTTTGCCCAGGCGCCCCCAACTGAAGCACCTGCCCTAAGAGGAGGTACCCAACTTTAGAAGTACCTAGGTACCCGTAAGTACCCTGTAAGTACCTAAGTAGTGTACCTACACATCTGCAATGTCACGCTCATAAGGGCTTCCATGAGAACAAGGCACCAAGGCGCCAAGTCCGTGCTCCCTCATCTCGCTACGCCACACAACCTCCATGGAGAATTCCGCCCGTTGGCCGTCGACTTGTTTCTCCGTCCTCACACCCACCAAATCCACCATGCACCGTAGAGACATGCGGTGCGGTATTTCATTTCTCTGAACACCTCGATCCCCTCTCTTTCTGCTTCGATATCTGGGCCCCTGCCGCCCTTATAAAGCATTGTCGACCTCCGGACCCATTCGACGGACGTACGAGTGGCAGCCGATCCGGCTCACCACCCCCCCTCTCTAGTTTTCCTTGCTTTTCCCTTCTTATTTTGTTTTTCTTCTTCGTCAACATGGGCCCACCTCCGCCCGCTCCGTGCCTGTCTGAGAAGATCCGCCTCCATGCGTGCGTGCGTACACATGCCAGAGCCAACCGGCGATTCGTATCCATCTCACCGCAACTGCGAGCACGCTTCTCCCTTGCCTACACCCGGGGCTCTACTGGCGTACTGCTTGTGCGAGCGTGGCCGATCCTCGATCCCGTGAGCCACTCTCGGGATATGTGATCGTCGCCTTTTTTTATTTATTCCGCCAGGTCTCCGGTTCCCCTAACCCATACGGGTCGATCACCCGCCCGCCTGTCATCGCGAAGAACGGGTACCACAAGTGAAGCATCCCCCCTCCCCTTGTCTAGGATACCTCGAGTCCCTTCTTCGTCTGCTTCCCAGTGACACCTGGGTTTCGCCTTTGTCTAGGACCAACGATTCTTGGCGATAAGGCTCGTTGAATTATCCGCCTTCCTCCAGGTTATTTGCCGACGGTTTCTTCCGCCGCCTCGTTCCGTTTCGACGTGCGTATCCAGCAAACAAAAGGCGGGACCTCTCTCTCTCGCCGACAGGAGAGCGTATCGCATCATCGATTTCGCAGTAACCCTCCCTCCCGCCTCCAATTCTTCTCCGTAAATCCGCCTACCTACCTGGTAAGATCGCATCACGGGTGTCTCGCATCCTACCATGCTCGGGCCAGCCAAGCATCGAGTGGAGGCGGGTGGAACTATGTCTCCCTCATTTGCGGTCGCCTTAGCCTCAGCGACCGGACTCGTCCCGACCTAGCCCGATCTGCCTCTCGTTCGAAATCCGCCTGGAGCGGTCTGCTCTTGATTACCCGTCCTCCAAGGACAGCGCTTCGAGGCCCACCCCTCTCTGCTCTTGGTGACGGCTACTGTTGTAGTGGGATCTTGGCGGTGCACTTCCTCATCTGCAGCTTTGATGAAAATCCGGGGTTCGCCAAGTGGGTACCACGGTATCTGAGAGTGAGATTGTATGGACACTCCGGGACCTAAGTGTCCATAGGGACAGGCAAGTTGGGCACGTCGACCCAGTATATATTAGTATATGTGCCGAAATACAGGTACTTAGGCCGGTATGCCTATCTATAAACTTGTACGCACGTCTATGGTCGCATCGGTAATATGAGGTAGATGGCGGATATCTGCCTTCCCATGTCGTTCTCGCATATACCTACCACTGTCAGCTACTCCTGTCCCTGAACCAACTCCGATCGGGATCGGCCGGTGGGTGGGAGCGGGAGGCCGTCGATAGGATAGGGTCGACGTGGTTAGGCATATATTGACGCAAATTAATGTGGTCTGCCGCGGTCAGAACGTTATAGAGGAATAATTATACACAATACCTGACTTAGGGCGCTATCAATGGGAATTACCTCGGCCGAGCTTGACACTCTTAGGTACCCAATCGGTGCTGAGATTGAGGTACCTACCTCTAGGCAGGTTAGGAGGCTAGGTACATCAGGTATCAAGCCACCTAGGCCTAGGTAGGTACTACCTAAGGTAGTACCCAACCCCTAACCACCCCCTCCCTGTGCTAAGCGAGCGCGTCCCATCCATGTAATGTACATATGTAATGTACTATGACATGCCTCGTCGCACGTAGTATCTCGATTGAATACCTAGGTCGGGGTACTCCGCATCCCAGTTCCCGCCATCCCACACTATCCGTCTCGTCGTCCCCAGTTCCCCAACTCCTCCTCCACTCCACACAACTCGGGTAATTCGCCGCTGCTCTCCAGCGCGTCTGGGGCTCGGGACACACGCCAGCGATCCCTCTCTTCTCTATTTCAGTTTACCTGCCGCTCGCGTAGCAACATGTTCCATCGTTGCTCCCTCTTCCATTTCCCTTTCTCTTACGTTTCTCGGGTGTCACATACGAGAGTGGCGGTTCCTGTGGCCCTCCTCGTGTCTCCTCTCTCGGGAGGAGGTGGTGGGAAGGCTTGTACGCCTCTGCGCGTGGACATACAGGCCTCCCTGGTGTCGACATACCACGTAGGAGGCAATCTTCGGGGCTGACAACATGTGCCGCCCTGGGGACTGAGGTGTGTCTCCCTCCCACCGGTCCACCGTGACCTGCCGTGTAGCACCCCCCTCCTTCTCCCCCTCTCCCCCAGGTCCCTCTTCTGTTGCCATCGAAATCTTCCCCCTCTTTGCCTAGCCTGCCGGCAAAGCGCGCCTGTGGCTAGGGCCTCCTTCGTTGATGGCTGCCACAAGGGCTTCTCGTCTAGGAAATATCACGTTATCGGAATCCCATGGTCCATTAGGGTTGGTTCACGTTTCGGCAGCCAACGGCCACCCTGGCGCTCAAGACGACGACATTGGTAGAGTTGCTACGTGAGCCGTGTCACCCTCTGACCAGCGTAGATATATAATAGACGATACATACCTACCTGGAGATGCCTCCAACGCTTAACGAAGAGGGCCCAACGGAGGATACGGAGGACGGCACGTACATCGGTACCGTGACCCATCCCATCCCACCCCCCTCCCTCCCCCTGTCCCTATTGTGCCCATCTCCATTCTCCACCCCATATCCCGCTTTTCTTGGTATCTCTTCGTTAACCCTTCGGCGGGAGCCCACTAATGAAGGAACGGGCAAGATAGGTTAACCTACTAGGTAGTCAGCGACAGAGGAAGCGTACCTATAGGCAAAGCGCTGTTACTAATAATTATGTGCTTCACTTCCGAAATGACATCGGAACCTCCACGCCCCCCCTGCAGCCTGCTTCGGAGGTACCTAGCCAACGCTCTTATAGGTGTATAGCCACAGTGGCACTTGTCGCCGCGAGCACTGAGGGGCGGCGATTGGGTCGCATGCGTACACACGTACAGGTAGTAGTTATCAGGAGGGCCTACATGCTGCAAGTGCCAATATTGCAACATGGCGGCCGTATTGGAGCTCGCTATATCGTCTGCATGGGTGTACCGATCGTTTCCCAGCACGGTGTCTCGCTGATTGGCTCCCCCGCCCCCCACATTCTACTCGAGCCCAGTTTCTCCAATGCGGAGATGGTGGGCAAAGGAAGTATGGGGTTCGCTGGCAGGCCCCTGCGCCGTTGCGGGTACCGTACCTGTGCTCTATTACACACAATCCGGGGGCGGGGGATCTGCCTGCCCACCTACCTAGGTACCTCCTCTAACCCCCAAGGAACCTCTCTCCTCTCTCAACCTGCTCCGGTTTCGACTTTTCGTTGGTCCGGGCCTGCTACTTACTCCATGTCTTACTCTCGTCTTCATCCTTTTCGTTTCTTTGCTTTTCCGCGCACTTTCGCCCCTGTACGCAAGTTGCGCAAGTGCAGGCACATAGATTGCCGGGTGTCTGATTCTTTGGTGTCATATCCGTATCCATCTGTATACCTACATCGAGGCACCCCGCCACCGCTCTATACTCTACAGGGCAGGTATGTACATATACAACCTACTAAGGCTCTGCTGCCCGCCCCCCCTAGTTCTCGTGTGGAGGTGATAAGCTGGGGAGCGCCAGCGCCCACTCCGGCTCACCCTACAGCGCTACACACAGTGCTAGTATCCGGCAAGCGTCAGCGCCGTCGTTACCGTGACAGCTGATTCCATTGGTGCAATGTCGTTATAAGACAGACGGACAGGCCCCCCGGCGCAGACGGACAACCCCCCAACCTGCGACGGGTCTGACAGGTAGGCACGCGGCTGGAGGCATCGAGACAAGCAAATAACATGTCGGTGTGCTGGCAACGGACGAGCACCATTCCGTGGGTGCACCTCTACGCGCGTACGTGCGTACGTATGTATACACATGGAGAGTACCTTTGCCCGTAAGCACGCAGAGGTGGGTATCGTCTGAGAATGAGAGCGAGGAGCTCTATTCGCGCTTCCATTGCACGTAGGCAAAGAGCGAGGCGGCGAAAGGGAGGCGGCTCACAGGGCGTGAGAGAGGTCAAATAGGTACCCGCCTACCTCCCTAGCCTTTGGAGGTAGCCGGGAAAGAAAGGCTCTGGGAGTCCGACCGGCCTGCGCCGGCGCCACTTTTATTTTTTTCCTTCTTCTCTCCTATCCCTCTATCCGTCTATCTTTGCGTCTCACCCACCTGAAAGGTACGGTGAAATCGGCTATCATTCTGTGCTGCTGTACGGAACTCCCAGTTTTCAATTTTTCGAAAAAAAAAAAAATTCAACATAAAATACTACTCATAATAATAAAAATGACCGCGCAATCTTCACCCCCTACCTCGCCAGCGGCAATCCCTCCCCCATCTCCGCATTCCTCTCCTCTCCTCTCCCCTCCTCCCCCCCTCCTCAATCCCCCCCATCCTCCTCCTCCTCCTCCTCCTCCTCTCCTCACTCCCCATCTCACATAACAATTCGGCCTAGCCCTGAGATTCCACCCATCATCAATCCCGTCGTCCTAAACTCATTCCTAGCGCCCTCCTTCTTTGACGTGCTCATCTACTCGGCCGCCTCATTGCCTGCGCTCGAACCCAACAGCTCTCTTTGCTTCCCGCATCCGGGGCCCACGTCTCTCGTTGTCCCCCCGTCGTTAGCAGATCTTACCACCTGTCCGTCTGCTCGACCTCGCCTATAGCATTTCACAAAATATATCGCCGCCGTCGCCGTTATTATTAGTCTTCTCCCACTTCTCCACACGCGCTCCTCGCTTCTCGCATCCCCTTCTCCGCGTCCGCTACCTTCGACCAATAACCCTGCCAGTAGACCTTCTCTATATGCCCGTTAAATTGTCCAGACTCCTTTTTTTTCCCTGCAGGAAACGTTTCGGGCCACAGCCTTGTTACCAGGCGTCTGCGGTCACCTCAGCCCTACTGGATCCGTGTAATCGCCCGCAGCTCCTGGTGTCCTTCGGGTTTCGTCTGTTGACCGCAGCGGCTGGCCCTTTCGACGTGGCGAGCGGCCGATCTCTCTGGGGTGGAAAGGCTACAGGACGGGATGAATGTGGTGGGAGCCCGCACTACGTACCGAGCACACAACCAAGGTCGATTTATTAGGTACCCGTACTACTATCACCGTCTATGAATTCATCCATCCAGCGACCACCCCGCAAGACGTTCATTTCTCTTTCCGGCATATCCTCCTAGTCCCGGAGACACGTGCAGACACGCATATACACACATACACACGCACACACGCACACACACGCGCACGCATACGCACACACGCACGCACACACGCACACACACACAGAGAGAGAGAGAGAGCTCTCTTTCCCTCCCTCCCCTCCTCTCGCTCTCTCTCTACGCCGTACCCTTCCTCCTCTCCTCTCTACGCCCCCTCCCCCGCTCCCAGGTGCTGCGTGACTCCTTTTGCATCGCACCCATAGTTCCTACAGGGACCTAGCATATACTAATACATTGCTCACTTGTTCCGCCCCCCCAAATGAAGACCATGCCATCCATAGAGGGCACTGGTGCAACCGGCACTCCCGATGAGAACGCAGAGGGCCGGCAGCAGAAGCCCAAGACGCTGCCATGTAAGTTCTGCGACAAACGCTTTAGGTAAGACGGCTCGAAGCCGGCCTCTCCGCACTCTGTTGAATTTACCTGCTTACCTGGCCGTCTCCTAACCAGACGCGTGGAACACGTCCAACGCCATGAGAGAACACATACGAAGGAGAAGCCTTTTTCCTGCGGGTGGGCTCGCTGTGGGAAGACCTTTGGACGCCGGTTAGTTCTTTTCTTCTATTCTTTCCCTTTATATATATACAGATTTTCGTATTTTCCTTGTTTTCTTAATTTCTCTCTTATTTTTGGTGTCTCCCCCTTTTATTAACTGGCCAGATTTGATGTGTGGTGGTCAACTTTGCCTTAATCCACCGCCGAACTTCCAGCCATTCACCGTCTTTCGCGGGTGCTAAAGCTGCCCCCATTCCCTTCCTCTCCCTCTCCCTCTGCACCACCCCCCCCCCTCCCTCTACCCCCTCTCAAGCTTCCTCCATGCACACGTATATACTATAGACGCATATATGGCCCTCGCGCACACCCCCCGTTCTCTACGCTATCCGTGACGCGCTCTCGACTTTTCTATCCGCCTCCTCGTGGATATGCTTATATGGACATCAGGGATCTCCTCGTCCGTCACGAGAAGCTCGTACACCTCAATGAAGGTTCTAGCAAGGACGGCAACCGGCCTCGGAAGCCGTCGACGGCCGGTGCAGCCCAACCGCCCCTACCAGCCGAGAATCATGTCGACTCCGAAATGATGGTGCCTCGAACGCACTCGCAACATTATCATTCAGACTCCTTGTCCTCCTCTGTGGCTGTAGCCCCCCTTGCTCCTGACCCTCGCCATTCTGCTAGAGCTGCCGCTTGCAACCTGGATCTTTTGTCTGACGCGGCCACGCAGATTGCCTCTGCAAACGAGGTCAACTCAATGCCACCGATGATGTCGGATCTGGGGCAGCCAGGCGGCGGTTTGGCGCGTATCAAGACCTACGACGAAGCCATGCCCTATGCTGACCGCGGACGCGAGCCTGAAACAGTTCCCATGTCGGTAGGAGTGCCGAATCCTCCCGGGCCGCCTGCTTTCGACGATTACAACGTCTTCTTGGACGAATTTACGACCTCATCTCACTTCCTTCCGCAAGCTTTCGAACCAGAGCAGGGGATGGGCTTCTGGTCACGGCATCCGTCAGATCTCCATCGAGGCGGGCTCTCGAAGCCGCCTTCCCAGTTTCCGTCTCGCTTTCCCTCGCTGGCCCCCGACCCGAGAGATCCGTCAGACGGTGGCACCCGGATGCATGACGAGCCGATGAGAGCGCAGCCGATGAGAGTGTCTGCAATGGACCATACCGTTATCAAGAATCGACTGGACGAGTTTTCGACTGTCTTGCCTACCGACTTCGTGTTCCCATCCCGCCACACTCTCACTAGATTCCTTGATGGGTACGTAAGCGGCTTCCACGACCATCTACCTATACTGCATCTCCCGACCATCATCATCGCCGATATAGCGCCGGAGTTGCTCTTGGCGGTCCTAGCTGTGGGCGCCCAATACCGCTTCGAGAGTCACCGGTCCAATGCGCTGTGGTATGCCGCTAAAGCGGTAGCTCTCGAACAGATCCGGCGGCGCCATAGCCATGAGATCCATGGTTTGTTACCCACACCGGCGGCATACAGCCCACACTCCACACGGCCGTCACCAAGTCACGGATTCCGTCACTCGTTCAGCTCGGTCCAGCAGGAGCGGTCGATGACCCAAGATACACACCGCGAGCCATAGTAAGAGAGCCCACACAAACCGCGCATGTTCGCGTATTGTCCTGTAAGATACTGACGCTTTGCCCCCCTCGATTCTCAAAGCACTCCCAACACACCCCAGTCTCGCATGGAAACCATACAAGCGCTTCTGTTACTCTTCGCCGTCGGCCTCTGGGGTGCAAAGGCTATCCTGCGCGAGGCCTTGTCTCTTCAAAGCCTCCTCGCTCTGTTGGTGCGTGAGGAAGGGTTTCTATCAGAATCCACTCAAACATCAGACTGGGAGTCGTGGGTTCGAATCGAAGGTGGAAACCGCACGAAGCTTATCGCCTATTGTTTCTTTAATCTGTGCAGCATCGCTTACAACATGCCGCCCCTCCTCCTCACGTCAGAGCTTAACCTGTTCCTCCCGCACTCGTCGAAATTGTGGCGGGCGGAGACAGCTTGGCAGTGGCAGGATGCTCGTCAGTCGTTCCCTAGTATGGACATATCCCTTCAAGATGCCTTCTCGAGACTGTTTAGTCGACCGCCGCAAGGCCCTCCAGCATATATGTCCTCGCTCGGCAATTACGCCCTTATCCATGCCATATTGCAACACGTATTCCTCCTGAAGCAGACATCGTTCTCTTCGGCGTCGCCTTTCGGGGGACTGCGGCAGGATGACGTTGAGGATTGCTCACAAGCTCTGCGTATCTGGCAGATGAGCTTCGAGCAGCACCAGGCACGGGCAAACGAAGGGGGCCAGCAGAACGGCTCTGACGGATTCCCCGGAGGATCGGTTGCTTACAACTCGACCGCTCTCCTACGGTTAGCCTCTATCCGTTTATACACCGAACTGAGTCCCAGCAGAACCCTGGAGACGCGAGACGCGGGCCAGATTGCCCAAGCATTCCTTGACGCCCCCTATCTCGTCCGGAGCGTGAGACTCAACAGAGCCGTCTTCCAAGCTATCCACGCACTGTCTATGCTAGTTAAGGTGGGCGTCAATTATGTGGCGAGGAAGAAATCCTCAGAATGGAGCATACAACACTCCTGTGAGTAGTAGCACCCCCCATATCATCCTGTGACTCTGTATTTTGGAAGAGGAACAGGAGGCTGCAGCTGGTTGAAATCGTCTCGTTAACTCTTAGACGCAGTGTGCAATTTAGAATGCGCCATCCTCCTTTCGAAATGGCTGATGACCCTTGCATCGGTCGGTCCTACGGGTACCTCTCCCGAACCGGACGAGCGGGGCCTCCTCGAAATGGTACGCCACATGCTCGATGAAACGGAGTTTGCGGTGCCTATCGACCCCTCACTTTCGGGAGGAGGCCCGGGTCACACATCGGGTATGGATGCAGCCGCCAACGATAGTACGAAGCTGCGCCAGCTCGCCGTAGCCGTGATCCGCCTCTGGGCTGAGACTTTTAAGGGATCCCACATTTTTGATATCGTGAAGGCGATTGGCACTGGGTTGGAAGGGTACGCGGATCTCTTGGAAAAGCCACGGGATAGGACGCCATTAGGCCGTATGGCGTCCAATGCGGGACTCGGGTGACGAAGCTGGATAGAAGTCCAACCCATGAAGCCAATATATGATATACCTACCTACACTTGGATGTGGTTGAAGGGTCTTCGGGCCATGTCTCCACTCGGAGCCACGCGGCAGATCGTCGACGGGCTATGCTACTAGATATTTAGTAGTGTTGTAGGTTAGCGCGCTGTCTGAGAGAGGTCAAAGGGAGAGAGTGTATAGATCCGACCTGACACGCACCGGAAGCACGATCGCCGCGATCAGCGCGGTAAGCGCCCACGATAAAGCTAGAAACCTCATACCAGCGGCCTGCGGCAGAAGAGAGACGATTGGAAAGGCAAAAGAAAGAGGTCCTAACATAGGAGCAATACGCAGAGAGGGGTTGTGGAGGCATGCACGACAAGAGAAAGGTTAGGGATGCTGCAATGTCGGGTACGGGTCGAGGGGAGGGGGATGATAGCAGTTGGAAAATAAGTACCTACCTACCCTGACCGTAAGCGCTGATATCTACTTGAATAAACACCCATCTACAAACCGATACAAACTGAGGCCGCCCCCGTCTTGGATCCCTAGAGAGAAGAGAGAGGTAGTGTTTCTGAAAAGGGGAGAAGGTCTCGGAAGATCGGGGTGTCACGTGATGACGTGTCCTCCATAAGACACCCCGCGATCTACCGAGACGCGTCATTAACCCATCAATCGCCTCACGTTTCATCACGCTCATAGATTTACACTCGCTCGTTCATACCTTCTAGCTAGGAAACTAACTTAACTTGGCGGATCAAGGAGGAAGGGTCCACAGTCTCCCAATCCGATGCCTGCCAAGAAACGCAAGGCCGCCGAGGCCGCTACGCCCGGGTCTGTCGGCGGCTCGCGTCGCAGATCCCAGCGTATCAGTACCGGAGGCAAGAAGAGCGCGTACTTCGAAGGCACCGATGATGATGATGACTACGGTATAAATGATAAGCGAGGAGAAGGCGATTCTGAGAGGGGGGACCAAACGCCACCCCGCAAGCGCAAGGCAGGAGCGAAGACGGAGGTTAAGACGTCCTCCGGGAGAAGAAGGCCCAAGAAAACCGAATCGGACGACGAACCAGAGCAGTACGAGGATGACGGCTATGTGTACAAGGACGACGATGATGACCACGATAACGACACGAATGACAAAAGTGAAGATGGAGAGGATACGGAGGAGGAGGAGGAGGAGGAGGAATATGAAACACCCCCGGTCCAGAAGCGCCGGCGTGGAAGACCAGCGAAACAGCAGGCCGGTACCGCTGCTACGCCAAAGTCCAAGGCAAAATCTAGAATCACGACAAAGACGAAGGCCAAGAATGGGGCCAACGCCAAAGCCAAAGCAAAAGTCGGGGCGAAACCCAAACCCAAAGAGCCTAACGAGGCAGAGGATAATAGAGACGATGAAGTTGAGGATGACGAATATGACGAGGACCACCGCATCACGGTAACCTATCTACCAAGTAAGCACCTCCTACATCTAAACCAGTTGTCCCGACGAAAGTTGCGGGTCCTTGCAAGAGAGATACAATTATGGAGTGGATGGACGAATGAATACATACTGACACAACGTCATCAACTCTTCACAGCGATCGAGCTGCGCGACACTGGCGGTGTCGAGTACGAGGACACCCGACTTCATCAGAATACCCTACTCTTCCTCAAGGACCTCAAGGCCAACAACTATAGGAAGTGGCTTAAAAGTACGCACTTATCTTCTCCCCACCGTCCTCCCCATCTCCCTCCTCACCCTACCCCGATATCCCATCGATCAACGTCATACGAATCTCGTACTGATATGGGTTTCCTCTCTCCTCGCCTCTCGCCGGCAGCCTACGATGAGGAGTACAGGCGGTCGCTCAAGGACTGGGAATCGTTTGTAGAGACGCTCACGGAGCGCATCGTCGAGGTCGACGACACGATCCCCGAGCTGCCCGTCAAGGACGTCATCTTCCGCATCTACCGCGACATCCGCTTCAGCAACGATCACACCCCGTACAAGGTAAGCTCCCTCGCCCGCCTCTCCTCCTCCCTTCTCGTCCATCGTCCGCTATCGACACTTGCGAGTAGAGGGGAAGCCTCACCGTCCACGCTAACGCACCGCGTTCCCGCACCCCCGCGTGCGCCCCCCCCTCCGAAATAGCCTCACTTCTCAGCTGCATGGTACGTCCCCGCCTCCCTCTCTCTCTCTCTCTCTCTCCTTCGTGCAAGTCTCCCAGCTCGGCTCCTGACGCCATCCCGCCAGGTCGCGCACGGGCCGCAAGGGGCCCTACGCCTGCTACTACGTGCACGTCGAGCCGGGGCGCTGCATGGTCGGCGGCGGGCTGTGGCACCCGGCCAAGGAGGCGCTGGCCCTGCTGCGCGCCAGCGTCGACGAGCGCCCCCACCGCATCCGCCGCGTCCTCGGCGACCCGGCCTTCCGGCGCACGTTCCTCCCCGAGGCCGCCGCCGACGCGGACGGCGACGACGACGACGTCGAGGCCGCGCTCAAGGCCTTCGCCCAGGCGAACCAGGAAGGCGCGCTGAAGATCAAGCCCAAGGTACGTGTGTGTGTGTGTGCCCGCTCGCTCGCTGTCCCCGTCCCTCTCGTGTAGCTGGCTATGCGTGGCCTACGGACATGGTTGTAGCATGTAATATGTATCTACCTGCCTATCTATCCGTCTGTATAGATACATACATATACATAGGCAATAGGCGTTCCGGGTGATTGCTAATGAAGGGACGCCCTCTCCCCCCCCAAAAAACAGGGCTTCCACCCCGAACACCGCGATATCGAGCTCCTCAAGCTGCGCAACTACACGGTCGTCAGGCACATCGACGACGCGGACCTGACGGCCGCCGACGCGCAGGATAGGATCATAGACGTCATCACGCCCATGGTCAGATTCGTGAGTTTTTTTTTGTTCGGTTCCCTTTGGGGGCTTTCCTTCCCGTTCTCTCTCTACATCACCCTCTCCCTCCCCCCCTCTCTCTCCCTCCTTGCCCGAGTTCTCCCCAAGGGGGGAGGGGAGGGGGAAGAAATCCCAGTTCCGTCTGCCCGTCCGCGTGGGCTCTGTCGTCCTCCCGACTCGTACATACGTATAACTGACTTCCTGGCGCGCGAACGCAGGTTTCCTTCCTCAACAGCGTCGTCATGCCCGACCCCAACCTCGACGAGGACTCGGACGGAGGAGAGGGTGGCGGAGACGAGTAGGAGGACGAGGGCCGATTCTCAAAGCGTGTGATGTACCTATGTATGATATGCGACTACGTGTGGAGGTGGAATTCGAGGATGTTCGCCTGAGGCCAGCTGCGGGCGAGAGGACATGTTCTCTATCGGATCGGCGTTTCTACATTGTTCACATCTCACGGTTTCGTTTTTAGGGGACACAATCTTTACCCCCGTTAATCACTTATAACTCGAGCTAGAAAGGTTTCCCGTACCATATTAAAAAATCCACGATATGCTAATATATGCCTCTCGTTACTCAGTAGACCAGAATTATATTCCAAGTCGCCACTAGAGCCATGTATCTCCCCGTTATTACGGCGGTCGTTAAGATGTCTTCAATTCTGTTAATAATAATAATAAGGAATTCCCATCTGAAAAGTCTACTTGATACGATACAGTGAGAAGATACTATTCAGCAGTAACGTCCCCCCGGATCAGTTTTCCGCTTGGTGTATCCGTCTAGCCCGGCCCCGTCCGTCCCGACGATATAGGTATATATATACTTATTCAGCTGTTCAATCACCCGTTCGTCCGCTCATCCGTCCCCCCAGCTTAATCCAGCATCCCCGTCGATAGGCTCGGGGGAAGGTCCTCATCACGTGTGCCCCAGTTGCTCTCCTCGGGCCCGAGAACGAACTCGAGCGTTCCGCCGTTCAGAAAGAAATCGTGCGTGATCCAGCTGCGGTTGTACGGCCGGCCATCGAGCCGTGCACTCTGTACGTAGATAGACTTATACTCGGGTGCGTCGAAACCGGCGACGTTGCGCAGCGTCGCCATCTTCCCGCTCGGCGTACGGATGCTGACCTCGCGAAACAGCGGCGCCGTCAGCAGGTACACGTCCTGGCCTGCGACCGGGTAGAAGCCCATGAAGGCGAATGCTGTGAAGGCCCCCATCGCGCAGTCGTCGTTCCCCGGGATCCCGTTAACGCTCGCGTTGAATTGCGCCGGTATGTACTGGTGCACCCAGTACGCGCTGCGACCAGGGCGCCCACCGTAGTGGAACTGGAATGTGGGCAGGAAGTTAGGCTCGTTGCCCATATAGTTGATACCCGAGCTGTGGAAGTAGTCCAGGCGCTCGACAAAGGCGCTCCGCCCACCCAGAGCCTCCACCAGCGCCGCCATGTCCTGTGGCACGTAAAAGGTGTAGAGCCAGGGGCTGCCCTCGTACGTGTCGTACTGTGTGTCGAAGTAGCAGCTGTGTGGCTGGTAATTCGGGCTACAGAGCCGCGTGTTCTGGTATCGCCACGTACCGTTCTGAAAGCGCGGCTGCAGGAATCCCTTGAACTGCGTCTTTTGCACACCACCGGCCTCATCCCGGAACCGGTCTTCCTGATCTGGGTTGAACAGGTTCTTCCAATTGCGGCTACGCTGTAGGTACTTGGTTTCATCGGCCTTGTGGCCGAGTCCTCGCGCCATAAGCGCAATAGCGAAGTCGTCGTATGCGTACTCGACCGTCCGAGAGATGCCACGGGTCATGGGGCCCGTGCCATTGCGATCCGTATCATCGTACGGAATATAACCTAACTCGTGCCAGCTCACGAGACCGCCCCGCCCAGATGTAGACCAGTTGTTTGGTTCTACCTCGGCATCGGAGACGACGGCCTCGTAACCGAGTTCCCAATCGATCCCATCTGTGAGATTCTTGATAAAAGCGTCTGCGAGCACTACGTCCGCGTTGGAGCCTCCTTGCGTGTAACCCTTGCTGAAGCTCATGCGGCAATCCGGTAGCTTACCTTCGTGTTTGTACGTGTCGATCAGAGAGCGTACCATGCGCGTCTGAACCGCAGGGTCAACAATGGTGAGCAGCGGGTGCTGCGCCCGAAACGAATCCCAGATGCAATAGAAGGAGTCGTAGTACGGCTCGTCCGATTCCCAGAGTTGATTCTCTCCCGTATAATCCTGCGGAGAGATAAGCGCGCGGTAGAGCCCAGACCAAAACGTCGTCAGTAACTCATCGTTCATACCCGAGTAATCAGGTTCCACGACGGACAGCTTCTCTTTCCAGGCGCTCTCACTAGCCCTGACCACATCCTGAAAGCCGAAGTCGGGGATCTCGGCTTCCGCGTTTCTACAGGCTTTCTCCACGGACAGGAACGAGAGGCCAACGCGTGCCATGATCTGGCCTTTGGGCGGACGGGCGAAGTGAACCCAAGCACCTGCCGAACCAGATGGGATGTAGAAATCGCTTCCCAAATGGCCAATCGCTTTAAATTCTTCGGTCGCGTCGGATTGCAAAAACGTCCCCGTCTTCCGGATCGCGGCCCCCCTAAAATCCGCACAGAAATGCGCTTTATACGATCCAGTTCCGAATGAGGGAGCAAACGAGGCGTTCCCCGTTATTCTGCCGGTGGTTGGGTTCACCTCAATATCGCCCCCGGTCCGGGAGTTACTCAGGTCGGCCAAATCCACAAGTATCAAGGGGCTATTGGGCATCACGGCATTGCGATATTCCACCTCGTCCTGTTCCGAGAAGCTGAATTTATAGAGCGTGGTATGCTCGCTAGCTGTCATCTCGGCATACACAGTGTTCTTGAGGCCGATGGCAAAGTAGCCCGGTCGCGCGGTGGCAGTTCCCTTGACCCTCGGGACGGCTCTACCTATGTAGGTATACTTGCACTGGGCGAAGTCGTCCTCAGGGCATCCCGGGTGCACGAAGAGAGGGAAGTTTCCCAGCGAGGGACTCTATGACTCGTTAGATTGGTGCTGTTAGCGGATACGACTAACTCACTCCGCCGGTGCCTTGCGATACGTTAGCAGAACAACCGTGCCTACTATAGATTCCTAGCTACCTGAATCATGTAGGTGAGAGAAGCCTTGGATCTCTGAGTCGTCTGAGACGAACCCGGCGGCGGCCTCTCCACGGTTATTCGAATCCGCCACCGCTTTCGCCATGCCTAAGCCGCTCGTCAGCAAGAGGGCTTCTGCATGCCCAGCATTTTGAGCGACTGACCATACGGCAGAGTAGCACCAGGGAAAACGTGGCCTAAGCAAGGTCTCAGCAACAATTCTCCCGAACGTCACGAACCCAAGTCATGCTCGCCGCCGCCGCATACCTCCATTCACGGTTCCGATGAGGGGGTCGACATAACGGAGAATTTTGTCGCTAGATATTCTTGATGAGCCCTTGAAAGCATCCAAAAACGCGCTTGGAGGATTGAACCTATGAGAAGAAGGGAGCAAAGCCCAGACTAGCAGCGCCAGCACCGGGACGACGACGAGAAACCGACGGCGGCGCGGGAAGCTCGTGAGGAACGGTGCCATAGCGGACCAAGAGCAACAGCCTGGATAACAGCTGTGCTCTCCGAGCCTACCTAATCCAGGTATCGACTGCAGATGGCAAGGCAGATGACGCTCGTGCTCACCAAAGCCATCGACACCCGAAGAAGGATCCTATTCCCGATCAGATTCACGGCCAGCCCGACGACCTCAGCTAGTTTTCTCACCTCGGCTTTGCTGTCAGGTGAAGAATCCATTCATCCAAAAAAAAAAATCGACTAGAAATCATCGGCCTAGATATCCGCATTCGCCTCCTGCGGCCGTCCCCTGCGAACTTGTCCTAAGCTATCCCGATGTGGCACGCACCCCTGTGACGCATCAAAGACGGCCGCAGACAGGATCAAATTGGGGCGCGTTCTAGACGAGATTCCATCCACCCTTGGCAATTAGAGGAATCCGGCTGAATCGCGTCCGACTGGGGGGCGGCGGATTTACGAGGATGGCATCGGCAGTACAATCTCGAGATGGCTATTGGGATACGGGGCACGGCCATCAGCGGCCACATAGATGCGGAACTTATAGCTGCGCTCGCATGTTACCCAAGGCGTGGCTAGCTTGTTTAGACGGAGAATGGAGAGGGGGGACACGGAGCTGTGGTTGCTGATCGTACAACAGGAGGCTGGTCTTCCGATTAGTCCCAAACGGAACGCACAGTACAGGGGGGAGATGGCGCACGGCCCATGGCGATACGGATGCCGATTCGCATAAAGAAATAAAGAAATAGCAGGTTGGGAATCGGGGTAACAGAGAAGCCTGTTGAAATGCCACGACGCTGGAAAGGAGTGGAAGACGAGCTGGATAGACGAGGTAGCGCGGAGGGATCGCCGACTAGAATCGGGCTGGAGTTGAGCAAGTCGAGAGACAAACCCTTACTACTAGGAGGAGGTACCTACGTAGCAGATATGGCGTGGATGACATGATTAGGTACCCCCTAGGGTAATTGGCACCCTCTCCGCCCCTCCGCCTCTCCGCCGCGGGACAGGGAGGACTTCTTTCTTCCCCCAATCACCGCACGCTCAGAGCCAGGTTACGGTTGGCGCCCTTGGTACCTAGGTACCTCTGCAGATATTAACCGGCACCCGACAGGTACCTAAGGTTAGGAGGAGATAGGTAGGTACCTTTATGCATTAGGTACCTACCTCCTAGGTGCCTCCTCTTTACCCACGACGCACTAAAGATTAGGTACCTCCTAAGGCGTCGCTAGTAGGTACTTTGGCGCTTATCGCCTAACAGATACCTACATACACGGCATATCTACCTACCTCGATCTGTGAGGCGGTCTTCGCAGCCTACCTGCGGTTACAGAGACCCAGAGCACGTTCCCACCCGAGGCATGTATGTAAGCCCGTTATGAGAGCAACTCGGCTTGCCACATAGTGAGACAGAGCGGAGAAGGAGAGCAGAGATGCCGAGCCACGCCCGGGTCTGCCCCCAAAACCGGCACCTCGGAAATGTCAACACTACATGCCTAGGAGCAGTAGGTAACAAGCAGTGATAAAAGCCTGGTGCTCCCGCCATGCCTATTACGCAATGGAGAAGTCTTCTCAAATAGGTATTCCAAACTAAGCCTCTTGGCTCTGCTATAGCTATAGGTAGGGACGGGACGTGGAACGCTCTATGACTTATGCTAAGGTTGGACTGCCCAAGACCAGGAACAGCCGTAGATCGGATATCCGCAGTCCACATTGGACAACCAGAGGGGGCTTACCAAATACTCCACAGCCTGCACGATGTAGACGGGATTACACGGGATTCTCAGGCAGGGTTGGCCTGCGGTACGGCAAAGCAGTAAGCTTTGGATCACGGTTGCGGTGAAAAATCAGGTAACTCCTCGGAAACCCTACGTGGCTGCCTCGTGGAGTTGCGCGCCTCCTGACAATGTAACATTTACCTACCTCTACCGTCCACCGATGTAAGCTTATATTGACCATAGCTTACCTCCCAGAACGAGAAATTTCCCCTTCTCGTCGCGAGTCCCTATTCATGCGTCGCCTCGTCCCCTTTGAAAATCACCGGTCTGATGCCTAATGATTTCATGCTGTGGTATTGTATTGTCGAATCTGCCCACTGGGGACTTCCGCAAGAGCGTGCAAATCAACAAGTTAACCCGTCACCAGGATCTTCTAACTAGAGCCCAACTTCCCCCATCTCATCTACCGGATAAATAAACGACAAAATGCTCCTCTCATCACTGAAACGCATTCGAAAGCCAAACACTCACCTCAACAGCAGGATTCAGACGACGGAAATGTCGCTCAAAATCGGCCTAGTTGGTTTGATCATACTTCTCGGCTCATCCCCTGCCCGGGAAGTGCCTTCCATCATCGAAAAGTTCTATAAAGTCCTCAAGAGCAAGGGCTAATGTAGCTCAGAGCTAGCTTCGGGCTTCTACAGCACATACGACGGTGACGACAGCGGCCGGCCGGCCGAAGCCGCGCCCTAGGACACGGACTTCGAGAGGCTGGCGGCGATCGATCCTCGGGCTACGGATACCACGGCGATCACGTGAAGGACTTCAACGCGACCTATCTCTAGGGTCAGAATGGCGAGCGCGTTAAGCAACATGGACATAGGTAGGCTGGGACGGGACCCAGGGCGGTCCGGCCGACGACAGCAGCTGCAGGAAGTCCGGCGACACCCAACCGATCACGACAAGAACGACGTGTTATAACACATCGCCTTCGGCGGTATTAAAGGACACCGTACCCGACAAGAACGGCACAAGATGGGCCGCAACTACAGGGAGTTCGAGTCCCAAGAGCTACCTAGGTAATAAACCCCTCCGTCATATCCGAGTTTGAAGGAGATGGAGCCTGCGCACGGGTTGGGTTAGTTGGTCTCGAGTAGCGCATTAGGATCCCCTAATTAGCTACTTCGTGCCATGCGTTAACAGCAATATAGACTTGCCCCCCAAACCTGGGTCGGGCTCTCGAAATTGTACCTACCTAGATATTACAGGTAGATAATATTATCATCGGAGGCTGGTTTCGAATTGTGATTGTTGGCGACGTGATACATCGATATAATAACTGCAGCCGAGGCTTCTCGGCTTTAGAGCCCCTTTCATAGGGGAGTTTGCCATACAATGCGATACAGACTGTCAGCCAGGTACCTGTTTCTAGGTATCATATTTATTCTAAGCATATTCCCCGCAACTGTCTACCGCATGTAGGTACTATAGTGGTGACTCCGAGTAAGAGTATTCAACCCCAAGTACCTATTACCATGGGGATTGTAAGTACCTATATGCAACAAAGCGGCGCGATGCTTTATTGCGTGATTCATCCGCTTCTAGAACATCGCTTTAATATTCGACAACGTCACGAATACGAACTCTCCAACCCCCGACGCAACACCGACTCCGTGGAGACGACGCCTCGAAACCTACAAGGATGGAGCTCCATGCCAACGACTCTTCAATTGTTTGTTTATGTTATTACCAGCTTCTTGCGTTGGTAGGAACGCTAGCTCTAGCAGCTCCGCTCGTGTGCGGTGGTCTCGGTCCTCCGCATGATGCCCTCCCGAGCTCACCCATGTTTTCACCCTGGCCAGCTGTTGTGACTGGCCACGCGAGCCTCAGAGGGCGGGGAAGAGCGACAGTCGTTGGAGCTCTATTAGGAAGCTCACAATCAGGGGTGCCGGCATCGACGGGTCGAAGATTTCGCCAGGCTTGATCATGGCCGCCGGCTCCGCCAATAGACTGCGCAATGCTGCTGCAGCGTTCCCCGAAGAATGCGCCTCTGCGCCCGAATCAGCCCAGGCAAGCCTTCCCCGCATTCTCGTCGAGAAAACTCTCGGCTTTATTCCCTTTGTTATGCCTGGGGCCGCTATAACCCGCAAGCTTTTCAGAGCAATGTCATACGCTCACCCGAATCCGAGAGCCACCTGCAAGGGTCAAAGACATGGCAGGTCGGGACAAGTCAACAGGCGTCAGGGCAGGGCAGGGCTTGGCGTCGATCTCGCCCCAGAAAGCATGGGGGCGAGAAGCAAGTTGAGAAAGGCGGACGAGTTCAAATACTACCCGACACCTCCCCCTTCCCCCCCCCAGGCCCTTGTTCTAGGTTGCTCTTCACATGTAGGTGCCTTTTCTAGAGGACTCTTTCGGGATCACTAGAGCTAGAGCTAGGTAAAAATGCCTTCTTTGCTTCTGTTGCTTAGCCTCCTGTATGGAACATTTCACGGGGCATCGGCGCAATGCCCCGATTACTCCGCTTACGCCAGGGCAACGCATGAGCCCTTCTCCGAAGGGAGGTATCAGCTCTCCTACCAGAGACCGACGCCCGAATGCCGGAAGTTCAACCTGTCGGACGTCGAGAGCACCATATTGGACATGAAAGAAATCGTTAAGGATCCTGATCTCTTCCGGCTATTCGAGAACACCTTTCCAAATACGTTGGATACGACTGTGACATGGAGAGGGGTTTCGAACAACAATTCCGCGGAAGAGGTAGGGCTGGCCGCCACCTACGTCTGCTGGCGCTAGATTAACAGTCTCTAAGCTCACCTTCATCACGACCGGAGATATCGTAGCCATGTGGCTTCGCGATAGTGCGAACCAGTTACGTAGTTATAAGTCACTCCTAAAGGCCGACGAGTCTACCGATTCGTTAGCATCTCTATATCGCGGCGCAATCAATTTGCAAGCGCGGTACATCCTCCGAAACCCGTACTGCAACGCCTTCCAGGCGCCCGTGGAATCCGGGCTCCCGCCCGAGAATAATGGATGGGCGGACACCGATCAAGTGAAACCCCCGTATAGCACGGATTTCGTCTTCGAATGCAAGTACGAGCTCGACTCAATCTCGGCATTCTTGCAGCTGTCGTACGATTACTATGATAAAACCCGGGATTCCGATTTCTTCGGGAAGTTCCAGTGGGCTAATGCGGTTAAGACGATACTCGACACCGCCGAGGACCTCCTGATCGGGACCTACGCCGACGACGGCGCCGTAAACGAGTCGCCGTACACCTTCCGGCGGGCGGCGGACAGCGCGACAGAGACTCTAGCAAACAGCGGGGCCGGAAGTCCCGTTAAGGGAGGGACCGGGCTCGTCCGGAGCGCGTTCCGCCCATCTGACGACTCGACCATCTACCAACTGTTTATTCCCGCCAACATGCAATTCTCGAGCTATCTGGGGAGGTGCGCCCAGATCATGAAGGCGCACGATGCCGGGCTCGCGCAGCGCATGAGCGACTTCGCGTCTAGTGTGCGGAACGGGATCGACGCCCACGGGAAAGTACAGCATGCAGTTTTCGGGGAGATCTATGCGTACGAAGTTGACGGGTTCGGGTCGAGCAACCTGATGGACGACGCCAACGTTCCGAGCCTGCTGGGCGCCCCGGTTATAGACTTTTTGGAGGCATCCGACGAGACCTATCAGAACACGCGCAAGTTCGTCCTCTCAACGTGGAACCCGTACTACATGCATGGGCCAGTCCTGAACGGGTACGTCGGTCGGGCAACACGCGAAGACGTGGTTTGGGGGTACGGATTGCTGACTTGACTTCTGCAGGACGGGGGGCCCTCACGTTGGCCCCGGCAGGGCGTGGCCAATGTCCATCATCACGTCGCTACTGACTTCGGACGACGACGGTGAGATCGTGGCGGGATTAGGGATGCTGGTTTCGTCAACCAATAGACTGGGCCTGATCCACGAATCTGTAGATACGTTTAACGCAGCGCGGTGGACACGGGAGTGGTTCTCGTGGGCGAATGGCTTCTTTGGCGAGCTGCTGCTGGTACTGCGGGAGAGGAAGCCGCATCTGCTCGAGACGAGCTTCCAGCAGCAGCAGTAGAAGTAGGTAGTAGGAGTAGCAGGCTCGAAGCGGCGTCAATATTCAAGCGTTCGTACCTGTCATTTGATGTCATTTCCATTCAACCGACACGTCACGTCGCGAGGCGGCCCAATGGACGGCTCCCGGCCCAGGTTCGACGGCCGGGACGGAGACGACGGAGACAGGACGTAGGGATAGGTCAAATGCCCTCGGCACACATCGCAGACGAGTACGGCGCTGCGAGTTATTCTGATCGCGGCACAGCATCGGATTTGGAGCTCAAGTAGCCCAATGGCACCGGATCCGAGCTAGCCGTCGGAATGGCAACGCAGCCCGCCGTGCATGCAACCAGAGAGGCTTTCCCAACGCAGGAACCATCGGCGGATTTCTAATGGATAGACGACCCGGATGTGCATGAGCCTCTTATCGCGGAGGCATACGTCGGTTGGTCAGATGAGCTGGTGCCAAGGTGACTTGACGTATCGACGCCGTCCGATATCGCGAGAGAGGTAGGTAGGGATATGAAGTAGGGTGCTTAGCAAAATACCGCAGCTGCAAATAAGACCTGTGGTGGGCATCTTCCGAGCAGCAGCTCATAATTCAATCGCATTCCGCAAGTGTAGGTATGTCCGCTCTGAGGCCGGAGCACGTCGTAGGTGGCAGGTATTAGGTATGATTTATTTCTGCGACGACGGGATCCCAGGCGCCCACCCGAGATTACCCAAGGTAAACCATGTATGCATGCATGGAATACTCGACTTCGGCTCAACATAAGAGAACCCAATACGGTCCGCCCCTCGTGCCTTAGGTACTTACCTTAGGTTAGGTAGGAGGGTAGTTAGTGGGTAGGTATACCTAATTAACGCCTAGGTAGGTACCTACATATACCTATTCACCCCCCACGACGCAGGGAGGTCAGGTTAAGCACGGTAGGTAGGCAGGTAACCTACCTAGGAAGTTATGAAGAGCAGGCCGGTTGAGAACTCCTCTCTTTTGCCTTTTCTCCCTCTCGTCGCGTTTCTGGGCGACGCGGATCCCCTCCGCTGCAGCTTTGCTCTGCAGTACCGGCCTGCGTGGCCCAGTTCCTATGGCTGGGTCCGGCTGGCTACCTAACGATGGAATCCCGACGGGTGAGCCTTACAGACCCCTGTCCGACACCTACCGCGAGCAGCCCACAGGCACACGACGACCTTGTTGAGGTGCCCTTCTTGTCCGCCTAGCCCTTCTTCTTCCAGCTAGCTCTCTGCCTCCTCCTCCCCACAAATACTTAAATATTTCTCTAATACACTCGTGTTATATCTACCTACCTATATCCCGTATATGCCCTATGCCTACACACAGGCAGCTAGGCATAAGATGCCTAGCTGTCGATCTGGCCCGAACAGTCAGGACAGTCAGCCATCGAACAGTCACGCTGATCGACGCCGTCATAGCGACCTTTCCATTTCGGGTCGGCCAATCGTGCGAGCGCCGCTGCTACAAGTAGACGCATGTAGGTAGAGCTTTCGCGAGTGGTGTGCTTATGCGGTAGCTCCGTCGTCTTCTCTCTCTGCATGCATGTGTGCAGACGTCTCTACCTACCTCCAAGGTATACATAGTAGCCTTTACCATCTACCTACTATGTAGGTATGTCTGCTCGTACTTACACATGGCTCTACACATGCCTATCTACACATCAGTGTTGATAGCATTCAGGCAGGCAGGTATAGGCACCCGATGCGTAAGGTAGGCAGGCATATGTAGGTATACATCGTTTGCATGCGTATACGTATACGTATGCGCACGGTATAGGTCTGTTACCTCCTGCTTGTCCTTCTGCCTCAGAGGCCTGTCTGGAAAGCCAGCCAACGGATGCTTCCTCGTCGCTTTGGTGAGAGGATGCGAATAGAATGAAATGTCTGCCTGCCGGAGCCGAGCATTTGGAGTTAGAAGCAAGAAGTACCTTAGGTACTTAGGTACGTAGTAAGCTTGACTTGAATTCTTTGTCTCCAACCCTTGGGGATACCTTTTCTCTACCATGTCTCTCTCTCTGCCAGTCTCTCTCCCAGTCTTGTTAGTCCCTCATTCTCTCATTCTCTCTCTGGTTTGCGTTCCCCTCTCGCCGGCTCACCTTGAGGTTGGTTTCCATGCCTTAGTTACCGCCTAGAGACCTTCTATCCGGAACCTTGAGTCAATGTCTACTATACTCAACGTAGACACCGAATACCGAGGTACCTAGGAGGTAGAGCACTCTTACCTTCGTCCCGCCTGGTGCTCCGACATAATAGCAGCCTTACCTGGAGGTAGGTACCTGTAACCATCTGTGCCTAGGCTGGGTTACCTTAATGTAAGCATATAGTATATGCCTGTGCGGTCCCTCATAGGTAACCTCGATCCCTTCATCCGTGGGTCTCATCACTGCCTAGGTACCTCCTCCCGTACTAGATACCTAGTGCCGCAGCCAAGCCCTGGCTTACATAGAGAGCTGAGTACCTGATGTGACACCCGTACCCCATCATTCCCGGAAGTAGTACCTACCCCGGGCGCCCCTGTACAAAGGCACAACCCTAAAAGGTATAGGATGGTGGGACATGTACCGGTACAATGCTTGCCCCCATTAGGTAAGCACGCTGCCAAGGCTGCCAGCGCTGCTGCGTTTGGCTGGCGACTGAAAGGCCAGCCAGCTTGGCTTAGTCGTCATGGCGGGCCAATCAAGGGCATTGTCGTCGGCTTGGCTCACTTTGTCCACTACCCTTATCAGGCGGTCGGCTCGTAATGCTATCTTCTTCCTCTATCTACCTAATATCTCTACCTTCTCCTCGACTTCTGCTGCTCCCCCAACACGACCGTTGCAGCAGCCTTTCCAGCCTGCCCTGGCATCGAACCTTACCCTAGATGCCGCCGGGTTCCCTCCTCCGACGTATCGCTAACCTCGCCTGCACACATACACCCTACCTGCCGCTGCTCTCCCTCCCAAATCTCGACTAGCACTTCCTAGGACCGATGACGGATGGCCACAAGATCTGGGAAGCATCACGAGGGGACAACCCCCGTCTGACTGACCACCTACCTAGGTCTCCCGCGCCGTTCATCACTCTCTCGACGTCGGCTCGACCGCACTTGAACAGATCCTACCATTATCCGCAGCCGCCCGCCTGCGCCCTCCCTTCTCTCACACACTCTCTGTCTCTCTCCGTTCGGGGACCCTTCCGCCCTCGCGAATTGCTCCATCCCTCCTCCATCCGTCCAGCCATACAACCTATATCCAACACACGCACACTGGCGCACACGCACGTACACGCAGACTGCACCTAGCCTATCCTATATCAACACCACCTGCTACCTCAAATCCATAACCTCTCTGCCTTCTTCTCGCCTACCTGCCGGCCTACCTGCCTTGGGTACCTACGGGCCTACACGTATAGGTAGGTATATCCGTGCAATAATTCAACACGCAAGCACGCACGCACACACCCCTCCCCTCCTCTCCCCTCCCCTCCCTCATCCCCATCTTCATCTCAGTACCTCCGACTATGCCTATAGATACCTTCAACATGGTACAATCTGCCTAGTCTACCTTAGCTCCCCAAGCCTGCAGCCACCCGTATCCATCCAGTAGCAGAGCCTCCCGCCACGTTCTCTGCCGTGCAGGGCGCCCAGTTCACCACAAATACGGTACGGCACGAATCCACATTATTTCCATGTGTATTATTTCGGATGTCTGCCTACGTGTCTTAGCAGCTAGCTCACCTCGCGAACTCCGTGCCTCTAGACCTTTTAACGACTGAGTGCCCCAATAAACCCGTGTGCCTAGTCTGCCCACCTGTCCTACATCCCACAGTACGAACAATGGATGTCAAAGTCCGGCGGCATCGAACTACAACTCCCGTATCCATCTAAGCTGGCTCGGCTCGTCGTAAGACGCCTCGGCCTGCTGGCGACGTCGCCGACACTGCGCTCAGCAGCACAGCCAACCTGAGATATCTCCGGGTTCGCGTTATCGGCTAACGTCAAAACCCCCAAACAGTTCTAAGCCCGCTGTCCAGTCGCCCGGCCGCAGTCTGGGCTTCGACCTCCTCACGATGCATCAGACCCCCCGCGCTCCGCCTCGTACAGCCTCCCCCGCCCTGTCGGTCCAAACGAATCCCACGAGGACGAATAACCAGAGAGATCTGGCAAATCTTGCCGTCCGCCCGCCGTCTCGGCCAAGTTCCGCGATTCAAGACGGGGCGGCGGGAGTGGGCGGCGGAAACCGTGGAACCACGAATCCGAGTCGGGAATCCGTCAAGAAACTGGACCAGATCATTCAGGTCAGTCCTCGGCTCACCAAGGCTGGTTGCTGCGATTGTGGATTATTGCTAACCGTTTGCAATCTAGAATGTCTACTCGAAGGCCGGCACCGTCATACTACAGGCACGCATGCAAGTCACTCCGATTCTCGTGGGCAAATCTCAGGAGAGGAGGACGAGTCGATGGGTAAGTCTAGGTTGTGAGGGGTATCTCGTAAGGAGTGTTCCGTCTAACGAAGCGTCGTTTGTAGTTCCAGCTGGATACGGACGACATAGACGACTTTCGAGACGACTTTCGAGTATGGAAACAATGCGGTGGGCTCGAGAACCGCCCGCCCCCGTTAGTTATCGAGACTTACCTCGACGCGTCTCACTTGAAGGGCGGCCAAAGTTTGGTGATTCTGGACGAAAATGGAAAGCGTTGGGACGTCGTTGAAGCCCTCAACTCATCCGATCAATCCAGCGACAGTAGTTCTGGCCGTCATGGGAGCAGGCCGGTTACCCACCTTGTATTAGAACGATGGCGCGTTGAGTTGAAAGGAAGCGTGCCCGAAAACCTGGAAGATTTCGGGCTTCTTCTTCCAACAGTATACAAGAAGGCCATCGTCTTGATGCGATCGATATACACAACCACAGGTATCCTGCCTGCCTGGAAGCTCGCCAGAAATTCTAAAACTAAAGGCATCCATCCCGCATTGGCCACTCGTTGCCAGGTCTTCTCGGGCGAGTCGCCGGCGTACGGGTCCGATACTCTGAGAATTCCCTTGTTCGAAGGGAGAGGGGACGTCTCTACCGATTACATGTTTGGCGATCTCGAAGTCCCGGTGGGCCGTTTTTACGTTTCCGTCTCTTATCGCAACCATTGCAGTTTCCAAGTCGTCGAAACCGAATCGCTGCTAAGCTCCCGTATCGGCATGGCCATCTCCGATGATATGTTCCGGCCGTCGTTGCCTCGTCGTGGACACGGACGCCACGAGTCTTACACGCCCGAGCCCGGGTCTCTTCCATACCATCGGCATGCCCACGATGTCACGGAGAACCAGCAACGATACGGGAGCCTATCCACGTTCCACGGCGAAGGGCCTATCGGTACAAGTCCCATATCCGCCTTGAAAGCAGTCAAGGCTCCGGGTTCGGATACCAGCTCGCCGATCGAGTCTAGACCGGGGAGCCTTGAAGCCCCGCCCCACACTCTTCCGATTGTCAGCGGCCCTGCACGAAAACCATCCCTTAGAGGGTTAGATACCACGAGACGCCCGTCCATTTCCTTTCAATCTTCGCCGTTCAAACAGGGCTCCCTATCCGCTTTGCCTGTAACGCGAGCGCCAGAGCAGGATGTGCCACCATCGCCCCAGTCACTCAGTCGGCCCTTAGGGACAAATATAGCTGCGCACGCAAGGAACCGTTCCTCGCTCACGGCCGGGATGCCGGCCTCCTTGCGAGGTGGGCCGCCCACCTCGACCACCGCCCCGGACAACCCCGTCGGCAGCTCACCAAGGCCGTCCGCCACCGGTCGGTTTAGTAGCAGCTTTACGCATCGTCGCAACCGGCCGTCGCTCGGTGGTATTAGCAGGGTGGATGACGATCAAAACAGCAGTGGCAAGCAGAGCCTCGCGTCTTCAGTTGCTCAACCAGGTTCCGGGCTATTAAACGAGATCGGAGCAGCCGGCAGTTCCGGATCTTTTCAAACGGACGACGACAATATTAAAGACTTCTTGAAAGTTATCGAAAGTAAGAGGACGCTACAGAGCTTCGAATCCACCAAGAAAGGCGAGTCGGCGACCAAGAGAACAGCAGCCCAGCTCAGCAAGTTCCATCTGATGCGCGAATCCAACAACGCTCTGACCGAATCCATGAATTCCTCGATGCAGCTCCAGCGCTCGTCCAGCTCCTCGAGCCGACAGCTAGGTAATGTCCCGGGAATGTCAGCATCGTCGTCGCCCGGGGGGAAGCCGCTGTCGCCCCATACCCCACATACGCCCGCCATCCCATCTCGCTTGAGCGAAAACTCGAGCGTCGACTACACGCCGACGACGAGGCTTGCATCGCGAGCGCGCAATGTCGAAGACCTCGCTGAGGAGCCGACGGTAATCGCGCAAACCACGCATGAGGGAACAACCGCGATCGACATCCCGACATCGCCGCGGCCGTATCCTCACGCGAGGCGATCCAGCTCGGTTGCCCACCCGAACCGCGCACTCGCCGACGACGACGACGCCCACCGCAGCGTCAGCCTTGGCGCCGAAGACCGTGAGGCTCCTAGCCTCAGCGTCCTGCTAGGGCTGGGTGCTGCCGAAGCAGAGGGCGCATCCGCTGCGCCAGCTCTACAATCGCCTGCTAACATTAGAACGGCCAGTCCCCAAGAGATGCTTGGACCGGAATCCGAATCTGTGGAAAGGGAAGTCGGGCCTCCGGGCGGCCTAATGGGATTCCCCAGCTCACCATACAGGCGTTACGGCGGCAGCGCCGGCCAAGGAATAGCATCACCCCACTCGGCAAGCAGCAGTCTTGTCGGGTCCGGTGGTCGATATATTAGAGGTAATTCGCGGGGAGGCGCCACCGGCCTGGGCGTCGCGGGCGCGTCTGCGGAAGAGGCAGACGATGAACTGCTCCTCTTCGACATGTCAGAGATAACCCGCGATCAATCTCGCCGCAGTACGGAGGAGGGGAGACACGGCCCCGGCGTTGATAGAGGAGGAGGGGTCTACGAATCCAACCATAGGAGCCGTCGTTGGTAATGACTTGGGAGTGCCGCGGCACTGATTCTTGGTCTCTCGTCGCGGACCAACGGCTTCTATATCGAGATGCTTATGGGTCACTACGCAGTATTTGGCACAGTCCCGAGTTGATAGAGGGAAAGGGATATCCCCCGAAGGGAAAAGGAAGAGGACCGGATTCGACCCCACTTGGACGCGGCTACGTACCGGAGATCTACGCCACAGATTGTCATTATTCTTTGGATCAGAGGGGTTTGGGGGGGGAGGGAGTTCTACGGTATCGGTTGGGCATGGTTATTTATTTACTACGGCCGGAGTCTAGAGCGGGATTGAAATCCATTCTGACACGCTCGAGGAAGACGATCGGGCGTTTTGGACGGGGGCAGGGGGCACGTGTATCGCAGAAAAGGGGTCTGCGGACATATGCCTGTTTGGCCGTCGGCTTTTTGGGACCATGACGATGGTGAGCTATGGGGAGACGACGGTAGACGGAATAGAATACCGACGACAGCGAACCGTCTTCAGGCGTGTCTGGGGGTATTGTTTCCCTCTTCCTTTCTGTTTTCCAGGACCCCACGGGGAGGGTAACTTCTGATCTGTATATTTATTTGGTGCCATACTTACAACTTGGATATATGCACACATAACTCCACTAGCCACTCCGGGTATTGTCGTACGTCGTGAGGTATGTGCGTGATGAACATGGTTAAGATGAGGATATGCTACGCTTCCGGAGTAGACCTGCCCGTGGCCTGCACGTATAACGGTAGGCGTCCATACGTGGCGAGGTTGTCTTGGGTCAGAACCTCGATACAGCCTAGGTCTTTGGTGCATCTCGACACTGGCAGGCAGGTAGGTACCTATGTGTGTATAGGTTCGTGTGTCCAACTTGGCTGCGGAGGGCGGACGTCAGCGGATTGCGCGTAGGCTGCGTATGTTTTGCTACCTACTTTAAGTACCTGCCTACAACTAGCCTAGCCTGGCCTGATAGCATCCACAGACCTTACCTACATAGCCACGTTACTTGTACTTCGAGCGCTCCGCTGGGCTCTCCGGTGGGCAGTTCGACGGGTAGACAGGGATGAATCGATCGTGCCTTTGGTTCTCCATCGATTGGACGGAGAGAACACACACACACACACACTCTCTCTCTCTCTGGGCTGCCCGTGAGGCAGACGGCAATAACATACCTTAGGTACCTATACATAGTAGTGGGTGCCTGTACGTCTAACCCGATATAGGTAGGTACATACATTCGGCACATCAGGTGGATAGGTACCTAGGTACCTCACTCAAGTACCTAACTGGACCATTATGTGTGTGTATATATACCGGCCATTCGCATTCACGTCAGTCAAACGCGACGGGTATATGTACCCAACGCACGCATCGTCCGCGAGGCTGCGCCGAATGCTCGAGGTCTGCTCGGCCAGGTACATGTGCCGCCCCTCTGCTGGGAGCCAAGCTAGACAGCGACGGTACCCGGTACACGCATACGACGACCGGATAAGCGAGCACAGGCCAACGTCATCTTGTCGCCTCTCCATTATCTGCCTACCTGCCTACCTGCTCTCCACCTCCTAGGCATACTCTCGCCCAGGCTCGTTACGAAGCATCGAAATCCCCCCCCAGACGAGAAGTACCTGCGTCTCTCCTACAAAGCGACATCACGTCGTCAAGTTTCCTACCTAACCCGGACTACCACCCGTCTTTGCTCTCCCCATCTCCGCGCCTACGTTGCTTTCCTCTGCCTGAGCAAAAGAGCCATCCCACCTCCTTTGCCCGTCCTCGATCGCGTACCCGCATCGTTCGCTCGTCGCAACGTCCTACGACGTGGCCAGGCCAAGCCCATCGATCACCAGAAGAGAGGGGTTCGCATCGGCATCGTCGACAGGTATAGCACCTCTCGGGCTCGCTATTCCTCTATTCTGCCAGGCTGCCCATCATGTTCCGCGGAACAGCAGTCAGTCCCTACGATGAGGTGATTGGTACGTAGTAAACCCGTAAGTCGCTCTTGGTGTGACTTGATACTAACCTTCTTCTTCCCGGTCTCTAGCCAGGGCAACAGACGAGAATCTCACCTCCGAGGATTGGGGGGCCATCATCGAGGTGTGCGACAAAGTGTCGAGCGATCCGAACGGCCCCAGTCAAGCAGTCCAGAGTTTGATCAAGCGATTGGCGCATCGAAATGCCAACGTCCAGCTGTACACCCTCGAGGTAGGTAGCCTGTGCGGGCCATGCTGCAGCGTCTCCCTATCCGCCCCGTCCGCGCGACTAACCCCTATTTCGTCAGCTCGCGAATGCGCTCTCCCAGAACTGCGGGAAGAGCATGTACCGCGAGCTCGCCAGCCGCGCCTTTACCGACGCCCTGCTCAAATTGGCCAACGACCGCAATACCCACCAGCAGGTCAAGGCCAAAATTCTCGAGAGGATGAAGGAGTGGTCCGACATGTTCAGCAAAGACACCGACCTCGGAATCATGCACGATGCCTACCACCGCCTTAAGCAGAGCAATCCGACTCTGCACCCGCCCTCGGCCCCCCAGAAGACGGGTCTTACCGATCTAGATCGCCAGAAAGAGGAGGAGGAACTGCAAATAGCGCTGAAGTTGTCTCTGCAGGAAGAAGAGCGGAAGAAGAAGGTTCCCGAAAGCGCGCCCTCCGCCGCCGAGCTGGGCTCGACAGCAGGCCCAAGTGGCGCCGCCGCCGCTGTCCCGACGGAAGCGGTACCGTCTCACTCGACCGGCACGACCGCCGCCACGGTTTCGCGGGTTCGCGCCCTCTACGACTTCGTCCCCTCGGAACCTGGCGAGCTTGAATTTAAGAAGGGCGACGTCATAGCCGTTCTCGAATCCGTCTATAAGGATTGGTGGCGAGGCTCGCTAAAGGGCAGGACAGGCATCTTCCCTCTGAACTACGTCGAGAAGCTGACCGATCCAACCCCGGACGAGCTACAACGCGAGGCGCAGATGGAAGCCGAGGTGTTTGCCGAGATCAAGAACGTGGAGAAGCTGCTCACGCTACTGAGCACGTCCAATACGTCGCCGAGAGAAGAAGACAACGAGGAGATATCCGTGCGTAACCCTGTCTACGTAGTTGCGCGCGATGGCGGCTAACAGACGGCAGAAACTATACCACCAGACGCTAGCCATCCGGCCCAAGCTCATCAAGTTGATCGAGAAGTACTCACAGAAGAAGGAGGATTTCACACAGTTGAACGAGAAGTTCATCAAGGCTCGAAGAGACTACGAGTCACTCCTGGAGTCTTCCATGTCCCACCCACCTCAGCCGAACTACCATCAGTACGCGCCGAGACCGCTCCTCCCCCAGGCCTACGCAGTTCCGGGGACGTCAGGTCCCGGCCCAGGATTTTCCCCCCAGGGACCGCCGCCGCCCATCCAGCAAGAGCCTCAACGCTACTACACACCTGGGCCTCAGGGACCCACCCCACAAGGTATGTGAAGTAACGCGCAGCTCTGCGCGGGTTGAGCTTATACATGTATATATTTAGAGCAAAATCAATTCCAGCCCGTGTCCCCGCCCCCAAGTTTCCAGCGGCCCGCACCAGCACCTGCCCCCTTCTACCTCCAGGGCGCCGAGGTTCCCGCCCAGGCCGGCCAGCCTCCAGCTCAACAATATCCTCCGAGGGACCAACCCTCCCGCATCGCGGCGGGCAAGCAGCAGCCGACCCCTCTTCAAACCTCGTCTCCCCCGCCCCAGGCCTACCAAGCGTACTCGCAGCCGCCCGCGGCGGGACCCAGACCCCAAAGCACGTATGGGAATCCGCAGGAGTTGGCCACGTCTGCCTACGACTCACCCGTCGCCACTCACAACCCCGGCCGGCCTGACCCCTACTCGGCCTCGGTCTACTCTCAGGAAGATCCCTATGCTGCGAGCCCCACCGCCCCCGCTCCGTCTGCGCCGCCGATGCCGGCCCCCTCGGGCCCGGCGCCGGCCGTGCCGACGCCTCTTGCGCTCGCTCCCCATTCCCCAGTGCTGCCGCAACCCCAGTACACGGCATACAACCCGCAGCGGCACGACTCGTACGATGCTCCGCCCCAAGCGCCGCCACCTCAGCCGACCGGGTCAGCACCTCCGATCCCGCAGGGGCAACCGCCCCACGTAATGACGCCGCCCCCGCTGCATCCCGGCGGCCCGGCATACGACGCTCGGCAATCGCTGCCAAGCCAAATGGGCGGCCATCCAGCACCCCAGCCCCAGCCGCAGTACAAGGCCTACGCGCCGCCGGGAAACGAACCGAGCGCGCCACAGGACTTTTACAGGCAGCACGCGGCGTACTAGTGCTACCGCGTGGGGACTGCGAATGGTGGAGGCGGAAAGAGACGGAACTCGTCCGCGCGCGGGAGGTTTCGCAAGTTTAGGGTTTTGGTGATGGCATACAAACCGGTCATTGACACAAGGAGCACGCACGTTCGAGATTTCGGGTTTCTCCGGCTGTTCCAGATGCTCGTTCCAAAATCCATTGATTCCCCGGGTCCGGCAGTAGTGTAGGATGTCTAGTCTAGATGCTTGGGTCTTTTTTCACATCGCGTACGTGTGAATCATCAATGTGCAGTGTGCGCGCTGGTTGACATGGATATCGGTGCGTGTAATTACGCTGTATCTTATAATGCATAATTCCGACACGCGCCAGCACGGATGTACCAGGTAGTACTGTCTCCTGTCAGGTGCCTAACCTAACCTACCTTCCATGGATACCTGAGGCAGATAACCTTTTGGGCAACATGTAATACATCATATACCTCCGACCCATTTACTCGCACTATCTTCACCTCAAGTACCCAAGGTACTACGGTACTACGACCTGACTTCGGATATTCCCTAATCTCGATATGCTAAGGTAGGTTGGTATGCTTAATGTTAAGCTTAATAACCTTAAATACCCGTAGGTACCTGGCAGCGCACTCGTGGAGGTACCTACGTAGGTACACAGCAGGTACATGTGTTAGACAGGTGTATAGAAAACAGCATGTATTGAGAGTCCGAGGTACCCCCTCAGCCAGTACCTGCCTCTTCAGGCACCTACCGTTGCCAGACGTCCACGCTTAGAGGACGAGGTAACCTACCTTAAAAGAAGGAGGTCAAGTTGCCGCGGTCATAATTACGCCCTCTGCACCGAGCACGGGGCGAGAGCGCGTCTCTGACGGGACCGAGAAGCTGGCTACATTGGGTAGTCGAGGGCAGACAGGCCCAATCTATGATGATGAGGATGATACTCTCATCCTCCTCCCCCCCCTTCACCCTCACAAGAGGTAGGTAGGTCCAGACCTATGCCCTCCCTTCGCTGCCACCTACACGCAGACATCATACTTATACGCACGAAATGTCGTGTGCGTATGTGTTTAGTCTCAGCCGCAACCTTCAAAGCCCCTATCCTCTCTCTCTCTCTCTCTATCCATCTACACGGGTAGGTAGATATGCATATGTGCATAGGTATGTGCGTAGCCGATACGGTTCCGGCTTGCCCCCCCCCCCCCCGTCTTCTTAGTGCGCGGCTATACGGGGAAGAACAGAGAACAAGAAGAAGAGGTAGGTAATATGTAAGCAACGTTGATTCTTACCCGCTTTGGTTCGCCCGCGGGCTGAGGCCCCCGCGAGCTCACCAGGCCGCCGCGCGTCGCTTCCCACGCGTCGCGGCGCGGACCCGGGTCGGTAGTTAGTCCCGGTGCCCGTCTTCCTCCCGCGAGCAAATCTCCCGACGCCTCCAGGTTACGGCGGACGATATTCTCAGATAGAACCTAGTAGACCTTCAGGCCAGTGGGATATTGCCAGTTCTCCGGTACCTACGTATTCTCGCAATCGAGTCTCTCATCCTTAGCGCGCCGTCTTGTCAACCGCCTGCATATAGGAGACGAGCTCGCTCTGTCTTGGACAGATAGCTTGGTGTCCAGATGTTCAGCCTACTAGCGTATCTGATCTGACCTTAGGTCCCGTCCTCCTAGATCGCCGCATAGACCCGGAATAGGGAGCGACGGAGAGGAGAGGGGAGCTACATTCGAACGGACACCGCTAGACACTACCGGCTAGAGGTATCCGGCAATATCGTGCCTTCGAATAGTGTCGACTTCACGAACACATCGGCTGTCTTACGCCATCCACAATGATAGCACCGTTGTACTGCATGTCAACCGTAGCGGAGGCACGACGTACATATATAAACACGATTAGTATCGACTCTACACTGATCGCCGGCTTATTCTCCGCCTCCATCTCGCCCGCGGGCTTACCAACACGCCCGGGGAGAGGGAAGGGGGGGGGGGGGGGCACGCAGGGAACTGAAGAAGGTAAGACGGCGAACGCGGTTACATTAACGTTCGCCAACCGACCCCTGGCTCGGGCTCCTGCATTGCAGACCGTGTATGCATATTACCTACATGCAACAGAAGCAGATCTAGATACGCCTCACCCCCGCGCCTGTGCCGCAGGCCTTACCACGGCCTTGGTAATTCGCAAGCTACCACTCACCCGGGTTACCCCCCCTATTCTTCCCAGATAAGTAGCAAAGACATCCATGATTCGGTTCAGTAGACAACAGGAAGCGAGACAACAGGAGGGGAAGAAGAAGTGGAGGGGGGTGGGAGCGAGGTGAAGACAGGGTTGGAATCGTGGCTTTTCCCCCGTCGGAGACCCCTATGGTGTAAGTCCCTCCGATTCAGCCCGAGCCTCCAAGCCCTCCGGCTCGGGATGCGATTTGGTTGGCGAGCCGTCGGCCGTTTCATAGCTGCATTCTCTCACGGTTCGGATACGACTTGCTGCTACGTAGCAGCCACGCTTCAGCACCATATGGGTGTTGCCGACGGGGGTATCTCGCGTTATACCCGTGTCCATAAAAGGTCGCTGGATGTAGGTAGACTTGGGATGCCAAGCCTGTAGCAGATATATAACCCTATGAATACAACGCGTAGATACAATGGCATATATACTCTTGCATGCATAAATCTAGTTGACTCGCCGTTTTTTCCTGGCCTCGAACGCAAGCGACATCCCGTGTCTGTAGGCTAGTTAATCCAATACGTCATCATTCCTGAATAGCCTATGAGATAGGAGAAAATGGTAGACGCGGAGATACCGCAAAGAGGCACCGTAGAGTAGCAACACCACGTTACTTCTCGTAGGCACACTGGATCGCTTGCCAAAGTTTGGTGCGGCCGATAGTAGGAAGTCCGACGGCCTCACGGCGGGGAGTCCGATAGCTTCAAGCAGCGCTCAAATAGATTGACCGTCTCCTGCACATATTCCACCTTTTCGCCCAGCTCAATCGAACGATAGTACCACGGCTGGTCGATCTGCTGAGGAAAGCCCCGTTGCACCTCGGCCGCATCGCAGAAGACGCGCCACCTGTTCTCGAATTCACGGCCCATCCGCTCAGCGCCCTTACTGGCACCTATCCGCCGGCAGTAATTCTCCACGGCGGACATGGCCTCTAGCGTCTGGATGTGTGTCGGTCCGTATACGTCCACGGATAGCTTGAGAAGGGAATGCCCCGCCTTCAAGGCTTCCGCTTGGGCTCCCTTGCGTTCTTTCACCTCGAACATCAGCCAGGCGGCCTTGCAGCGGAGGTCCGGATAGGAATCCGACGGCCTCGAGTCGAGCCACGACATGATCTCCTTGGTCAGGGCTTCGGCCTTCTTCAGTCGCCGTCTCGAAAGGCACGATAGGACTAATCTAAACTTCGACTCCTGAAGTAGAAACTCAGCGGCCTCTCTCGATACCGCGTTCCCCGCAATCATCGCTTCGACAACGGTTTCGAGGAGGCTGTACGAGAGAAGCCCTGTGCAGTGAAGCTGGATGAAAACAAACAGCCCCTGGACATCATTGGTTGTGTTGGTATCCGTCGAGCTGACGTGCCGTCCCCACATGTCTAGATAGGACTCGAAAATGGTCCCGGCATGCTCACGGATCCCACGCATCCCCGTGATCATCACCCGAGACCATAGCTGGTTGAACGGATGCCCGGGAGGTAGAATCAACGAGGTAAGCTTCGAGGCGTAGTCGAGGAAGGCATCGCCAAGCTTGCCGTTCTGGCTGGCAAGAACAATGGCACATTTGTAGGTAGCTAACCAGAACATCGAATCCGGTCGCTGCAATTGTCGCTTGTATTGGTCGAAACACATGCCTAGCAGCGAGAAGCCTTCCTTTATCCGGCCGTGACGGATCAACCCCTGGGAGGAGGCAACATAGTGCTGCCAGGTGAACGCGCCATTCATCTCGGCGGTGTCCCCTCCAGACGCCATCTCCCACATGCCACTGTCGAACGCACCATATATAAAATTCCGGAGGATCTGCATGCATTCGTGCGGTATCCGCAATTCCGTAGGCTCTTCTAGACGGGGAGAGATGGATACGCTAGAGTTTGTCGTATCGGGCGAGGGCGAGGGCGAGGGCGTCCGGCAGACAACCTGGGTCATCCTAGACGGCTCGCCGTCTTTATCCACCACCCCCTTCTCCGCACGCATGATTTTCTTCGAAATGAGCGGCGCTGCGCGATACCGATATCGTTGGAGTCGGTCCGGATCGATCCGCCTGCCCCTAATGTAGGCGACCGTCGGTTTGCCCACGGCGGCGCGAGCAGTTTGCTGGCGGAAGATCTCAACGGCTTCCTCGGCCTTGATCTTCTTCTCGATGCCCCATTTCTGGAAACGGGCCTTATACATCCTCACACTTGGCAGCGAGTTAGACGACCGAGTACCACCGCCGAATCGGGTGTGTGGGATGGATGGATGCTGGCGGGGGACTCACGTCGCGAAGAATTGATGGTTGTTCTGCATTATTTGCATGATCTCCTTCAACGTCTTGTTCTGGTCTCTATCTGGTAGGTGTTAGAACCTATGATACTACTTGCTGCTATCGGCGGCAGGTGTAGCCGTGGAGCTCACGCCCGACAAGATGACCGCTAGCATTGAAGGGATAGAAGGACAAGAGGGCAGCAGAACACACTGAGCACAGGTCAGCATGCTTTCATCCCAACGAGGTGAGTCCGGGGGCATGCGAGAGCGGGCACGTACCAAAGGGTGGTGATGAAGTCTCTCTGGGCGGCCCAGTCGCTGGCCGTGGCCCAGCCGTTGTGGCTACCGGGAGTCGACATGTCCAAAGAAAGGGCAACCATATATCCAAGATCAACTCGATCGCATTGGGATTTCGGGAAACGGGTTGCACGGCTTGCAGAGGTACGTGGCACAGCAGGTGTGAAGTAAGAAGCCGGAGAGAAAAGGTGACGGGATGAGGTAACACTCGCGATCACGAGGGGGACGTAGGTGGCTAGCAGGCCGTCATCGGCGTCAATATCCACATTCTCGAGAGGCCGCAGCTAGACGACGACGCTGTGCCTCGCGCAATCCCGTGGCACGACAGCGGAAACAAGAGCGTGCCGAAATGCGACCGGGAGCGGCCCAGGAAGGGGGTCTCGGCGTAGGCGGGAAGAGCGTATCCGTGTCGAGGGTTGGGTTGTGCTCGGGGGAGGGAAGCAGACGCAGAGGCGGAGGCGGAGGCGATGCGGAAGAGGAGGATGGGGGATGGGGGAGGAGAAGAAGAGCGAGGAGAACGAGGTGCAGGAGGTAAGCAGGGGCGGGAAGACGGCGACAAGGAGAGATTGATAGGGTAATTCGCTCTACCTGGGGGGGTAGTAAGGAGGGAATAGGCCAATAGCTGGGTATATATAGGCTGTTAAGGCTGGAGGTCGGCCAAGTCGAATATACGGATATGGTATGTACAATTCCGGCAGTGTCTGGTTCCTGGCTGCGACGCTGCTGGGACGGCATGGGACGGTATGGCCAGCCAAGGGCATAGGCCAATTCATAGTCAGCCAGCTTAAGTGATGGACTGGTTGGCCGATCTGTTGACGGATGGGGGGGGGGGAGATGAAAAGAGTGGAAAGACGCAACGATCAGACGGGCTCATGCGACGGTCGAGACGTAGCAGTACTGCGACGCTGCGCTGTCTGGTCGAAGCCGACGGCTTCCCAACACAGATACAGAGGTAGCGTGTACATCCCGACCCACATGCCTACATGCATGCATGCATACGTACCTACATCAGTACCTACCCGATACCTCGCCCGCCTTATACCGACGCATCAGTATAGTATAGTGTACCTACTGCCGTGGGCGCTTTGCGTGCCGCAGGGCGGGATCTGCCCACCGCGCCCGTGTACGGACGAATGTGCGCTAAACGGGCAATACCGAGCAGGCATGTCCCCTGGGAAGCATATACAAACAATACTCACACGTACAAGGTCGGTGCTACGAGGCACCATCTCCGCTAAGAGGTACCTCAGCCGACGGGGGTGGACAGAGGGGGGAAATACACCTCCTCCAGAGCTTGGGTACCTACCTACCATGTGGTTGACACATGCTAAGCCTACACATATAGCATATGAGGTACACACCTACCTGGGCGTGAGAGGTAGGCACCTGGGCAGGTAGGTACCGCAACCCTAAATGTGCCCTAAAGGCGGGTACCTTACCTTGCCTGCCTACGTAGGTAGACACCTGTACCTACCTCTCTTCCTTACGTGCATACCCCCTCCAGGTGTCGCAAAGCACTAAAGTTAGCGCTTACCGAGGGTTACCACCTTGACACAACGCTGCCTCGAGGTCCCTGCCGCCTGTCGACCGCCGGCTGTGCTGTGTCACGTACCTGCCTGCTTCTGTGTACTCATAAAGAAAAGGAATCCCAAGCGTTGATCCCGACCCGAGGAATTGTCTCTGTATAACAAGACCAGAGTACTATACAGCAGTCATCTGTGTGCAGCGTAGGAAACGCCAGAGTCATGCACCAAGAACCCCCCCGGGCATGGAAGGCCGGCATCTCATCCCAATGGTGGATGGGCCGATGGGATATCTCCGACTCTGCTCGGTAGGTATCCATCCCCCCTTCCCACAACCAGTCTAGAGCCTTCTCCTAGCTGCTGAGTGGTATCAAGTCTACGTAGTAACTACACGTATAGTATGTTTTAGAAATGCAAAGGTAAGGAGCAGCCAAACGGTCGAAACGGGGCCGGCCAAGGTACCTGCCTAACACAGTTGTGGACACAGCCCGGGGTGGAGACGGGGTAATATAATGATATTATACGCACGACCGGAGTCTGAGCGTCGGAGGCAGGGGGAGAGGGGGGGGGGGAGGTCGAATAGCCGAGTCTGGGGCGCTCAGCAAGCACTTAATCTCCTTACATACCTACTTATACATTATTGGGCGGTACTCTCGAGTACTACAGGTACTTCCTTAACTCCGGCACCCCGTCCACCACCGTAGGTAGACACAGGCACCGCACCGGGTACTGTGTGGCTTAAACCGCGCTGGGGGAGAGGGTGTGGGGGCTGGTGTGGCTACACCCAGGTACCTCTTCCGGGCGCCACGTCGGAGGAACTACACGTACACGTATGACTCAACACCTATGAGTTCCTGAACTGACAAGAAATCCCGGCGCCTCCTCTCCTGGTTGGCCTGGCAAATTATGTCATCATAGCCTGTTGTGCGGTTACCCAAGTAAACAAGCTCAAGAGAAAAAAACAACAACACATCGCCGTCACCAGCCCGACTTACGTTGTATGAGATGAACATAAAGCAAGAGAAAAAAAAAACATCCCCGCATCTCAATACCTGCCCTTCCCACGAATACTCCCCCGCCACTCTATCGTGGCATTGTTAGCCCACCGCATACAACCGAAGCTTCCACCAAGTCTGTTCTACACCCCACAGTCTGGAATTCAGCCCAAGAATAACCTCGACCCGACCGGAACTCCAGTTGTCGCGAGATCAGAGTGCAGGAGACGCTAGAGAAGCCATCATACTAGACCACGACGAGCCAGCCACGAGACATTGCACATCGTCATGGTCAAGGAGCAAGCTCCGCCTAGGGTGCAGCGGCGTCCCCTAGAACCCAACGCGACGAGCGGAAATAATGGCACGGAAAACCCAAGCCGATCCGCCGACAAGCCACGAGGCTTCGTAACCGTCAACACCGGAGGCTACGGTTCTACCAACTCTCCTTCTTCCCCCTTGGCCGCGAATCCCGCTCCGGAGCCGGCCACCAAGCTCCGAGCCCCATCAGGCGGCAGCAGCATGGAGGACAAGTACGCGAAGCTATTCATCCAGCCGACGAGTCGGCCCGAACACCACCGACCTCAACGTATCAACGGTCCGCTGCAGCCCTCGTTTAAGGATAAGAAGCCTGCGGCGCCTCCCATGTTCGATACTGCGAGCTCTGGCGCGATAGGGTCGGCCGGAAATCCCATATCGATTCTCGACGGTGCGCCAATCTCGAGATACACCCAGCCAGGCATTTTCTCCTCGTACGTCGATCCGAAACAGGCGGCCGCCAATATCAAAGCTTTGCTCGAGGGCTCCATAGAAGATGAGGATAACAACGACGTAAAGGTGGAAGAAGGCGGCGACAGATTTCACGTAGAGGGCCTCAGCGTCCCGTTGCTACCGCATCAAGTCGAAGGCGTGGAGTGGATGAAAGGCCGTGAGCTCGGCCCCGTAAAGAAGGGCAAGGTGCCCAGGGGCGGTCTTCTCGCTGATGATATGGGTTTGGGGAAGACGCTGCAGTCCATAGCCCTCATCCTAAGCAACAGAAAGCCGGAAGATAAGCACCCAGGGGTCGAGAAGACCACGTTGGTCGTCGCGCCCTTAGCTCTCATCCGCCAGTGGGAGGCCGAGTTAAAGGAGAAGGTAACCGAGCCGCACAGGCTCAAGGTCCTTGTGCACCACGGCCCGCAGCGCTCCAAACGCTTCGAAGATCTCCGCCGATACGATGTGGTCATTACAACGTACCAGATCCTAGTATCGGAGCATAGTCATACCACGGAGAGGCTTAAGACCGGCTGCTTCGGTCTCCACTGGTACCGCGTTATCCTAGACGAGGCACATACCATCAAAAACAGAAACGCCAAGGCTACAAAGGCTTGCTACGAACTCCGGAGTGTCTATCGTTGGTGTCTCTCTGGTACCCCGATGCAGAATAGCTTAGACGAATTGCAAAGCTTGGTTAAGTTCCTCAGAATCCAGCCCTATGACGATCTCAGAGAATGGAAGGACCATTTCGATCAACCGATGAAGAATGGAAAGGGCGAGGTTGCCATGCGGCGCCTCCACAGCTTGCTACAGTGTTTCATGAAGCGCAGGGTAAAGGATATCCTCAAGGAGGCTGGCGCTCTCGATGCCGGTGGGAAGGAATCCAAAAAAGGTGATCAGGGTGCGCCGACTTCGGGTTTCAAGGTCACCGAGAGGAAGGTTATGACGATCGCCGCCGAGTTTACCCCGGCAGAGAGGCGTTTCTACAACAGGCTGGAACAACGAACAGACAAGAGCATCGAAGCGATGATGAGAAGCAAGCTCAACTATGCCAGCGCGCTAGTACTTCTCCTGCGTTTGAGGCAGGCCTGCGACCACCCGAAATTGGTGGAGGGCAAGCTCGAGAAGGACAAGGACGCCTTGTCCGAAGAAACGAAACAGAAAAAGGGCGATGCCGACGTTGACGATCTCGCAGACCTTCTCGGCGGCTTAGATGTCGAGGCCAAGCACTGTGACATATGTGGCTGGGAACTAAGCCGTGAAACCCGCCAGCCCGGTACCGACAAATGCAAATCATGCCACGAAGACTTGGAATATTTCAAGCATCACGAGGAAGGTGGGAAGTTGAAAGCCCCGAAAATGAAGACAAAAAAAAAGAACAAGACCGAGAAGGCTGCGGAGGAAAAAATCAAGACCGAAGTAGTGAAGAAGCGGAAGCCGAGAAACCGGCGCGCAATTATTGACAGCGACTCGGAAGAGGAAGAGGGCGAATGGGTCGTCTCTGGCGACGAGCAAGGCCCTCTACGCTTAGGAAAAGCCGGCGGCACTGACGACGAGAACGCCGAGGGCGACGGTGAGACCATCAACTCAGAGGATTCTGAAGAGGAGGAATCGCAAGATGGCAGCCGTCTCAGCAGCTTCGTCGTCGAGGACGGGAGGGACACCAGCCGCGAGGGTCTCCGTCGAGCTTTAGATCAATCCGACTCCGAGGACGACTCGTTCGAGTCTGTCTCGGCTATCGAGGCCAGAATAAGCCAGGCTCAGTCCCATGTTAGCAAGGATGAGGAGGAGGACGACGACGACGGCGGCGATGACGATGATGATGACAAGGACCCAGAGGAGGACACAGCTTCAGAGTCCGATTCCGAGACCGGCACCGGTATCTCTGAATCCGAGATCAATTCGGATTCAGAGGACGACAACACCTATGACACCTCCCGGGTACGTGGCCGCGGGAGGGAGGAGACGCCGCACGTGTTGGCATCGGCCAAGATCCGGCAACTCATCTCACTGCTACACAAGGAAGTGCATGAGCACAAGTTCATCGTGTTCTCACAATTCACGAGCATGCTGGACCTGGTGGAGCCCTTCCTCCGCAAGGAGGGTATCCGGTACACGCGATATGACGGGAGCATGCGCAACGACGCGCGGGAGGCGGCGCTCGAGTCGCTACGGAAAGACGCGCGGACACGAGTACTGCTGTGCTCGCTGCGGTGCGGAGCGCTGGGCCTGAACCTGACCGCGGCCAGCCGGGTGATCATCTTGGAACCGTTCTGGAACCCGTTCGTCGAAGAGCAGGCGATCGACCGGGTGCACCGGCTGACGCAGACGGTGGACGTGATCGTGTACAAGCTCACGATCGCCCACACGGTGGAGGAGCGCATCCTAGAGCTACAGCAGAAGAAGCAGCTGCTCGCCGAGGCGGCAATCGAGAGCGCCGCCACGGGCAAGCGCAAGGACGCGCTCAAGCTCGGCCTCAAGGAAATGCTAGACCTTTTCAAGCACGTCGACGGCGACGGCGGCAGCGGTGGTAGAGGCAGGAGGAGCGGCGGACAGGACGACGACGGGTCTGATGATACGGCATCACGAGATGGCAACGATACCTCGACGACTTCTGCGCACCGTAATACTAGGGGTAAGAGGGGAGAGGTGATGGGGAGTGATTCGCGGAAGCCGGAAAACTCGATTTATGGACGTCGATGGTGATCAGGACGAGGCACGGGCGTTGCAGGTCGGCTCATACATGGACGGCTCCTCTATCAATCGTGGGATGGCTCGCTAGCTTATACGGACGGGACATGCCATGTTGCTTTCTCTGGGACGACGTATCCTGTTGGTGTCGGACGAGATGTAGGTATGCGAGATATAGACGGTGGAGTTTTATCACGATTACGATGTCAATGACCCCGAACTGCAAATCGTATCCAGGTACCTGCAATAGCATTGTGGCAGACGTTAACTTAACCCAGCCGCCTAAGCACATATGCACCTATCCAACTTGCCATGTGTTGGAAGGAACCGGCACAGCGCGGGAATGCCGGGTGACGTTATAGCTGCTCGGAGACTACCCAGGTAGGTATCTCGCACCCGCACCTGCCTCGTCCTTCGGAATAAATCAGACAGAAGTTGAAGTAGCGACCCGGCATTACGTAATTAAAAAAAGTAATCATCGGCTCTTGCCTTTGAGGCTTGGCGCCGGCTTATGAAGTACCTCTGTTCTTGCGCCCAGGCAGGTATACGCATAGGTACCTCGAACCAGCGCCTCGTTGGCCCATTATGTACCTATGTAGTAGGTAGGCACCTACTTTTCTTTATGCCTTTCAACGTCTTCTCACACCCCTCCCAGACAAGCTCGTCGACATTCCAACACCATCCCTTGACCTATTTGTTCTACACCCTCTTCCCTACGACGAAAATCTCTCCCCGGCTAGGTCTCGTTATGGTTGATCCGACATCACTTCACCATGTCGGGCAACACAAAATCTCTCTCCCAATACCTGGAGCAGCTTCCGGGAACAACTTTTAGGAAGCTATACCAGCAGCCATCCACTGCCTTCGCCATCTTCCGCCGCATGCTTCCTCACATGGGTGAGATTCCCCTCTCTTGCCCTCTGGTTCGGAGAGGTCTACCAACGAGTTACTAACTACGAGAAATAGCCAAAACCATCGTCATGGCCATCCTCTACTCGCCGAATCCTTTCCTCCTCTCCGACCTCGACGTCTGGGTCAAGCCCTCCGCCACCCGAGAGAAGGACCAATCCATCGCCATCCTCCGCTCCCTCCATATAATCCAACCCCAGTCCTTGACCCTGACGGCCAACTTCAAGAACAGCCTGCGCCTCGCCTTGGAGGGTGGCGGCGACCACAACTCCTTCGGCGTCCTGTCCACACATCCTATTCCCAGCGATGTTGACCACGCGTTCCTGGATAAGTATGCGAAGAAGAAGTGGGATGACATTCTCTATTACATAGTCGCTACCGTCGGGTTGACAGGCCCCGAGAAGGGTTCGAGCGGGCCTAAGCAGTCAGTGAAGGACCTCTTGCTGGCTGGACGGTTAGTCGAGCGTAGGCCCGGTGGGGGAGTCCAAATCACTCAGGGCGGGTTCTCGTTCTTGCTGCAAGAGACAAACGCCCAGGTCTGGGCCCTGCTTCTCTTGTGGCTCGAGGCGGTCGACGCGGCGAACGCCAACGGCTCCAGTTCAGGCATGGACGGCGTGGATATGCTCTCGTTTTTCTTCCTTCTCGCCTCCCTCGAGTTCGGACGCGCATATAGTACCGATGCTCTGACCGAGACCCGGCGCAACATGCTACCCATGCTTGTCGACCTCGGCCTCATATATATTCCCCATAATAACCCTCATCAATTCTTCCCCACCCGGTTGGCGACAACCCTGACGAGCAACGAAACCGCTCTGCGGAGCGTCAGCGCTGGCTTCTCGGCGGCGAGCGACGCGACCACCGACACGCAGGACAAGTGCACCATCATCCTCGAAACCAACTTCCGCATGTACGCGTACGTAACCTCGCCGCTGCAAATCGCCGTGCTCGCGCTCTTCTCGGATCTCAAGTTCCGCTTCAAGGGGCTCGCGTCGGGCCACCTGACGCGCAACTCGATCGGCCGCGCCGTCAGCATGGGCATCACGGCCGACCAGATCGTCTCGTACCTGTCGACGCACGCGGACGAGCAGATGTACCGGCACGCCGCCGCGACCAACAAGCCCGTGCTCCCCCCCGTCGTCATCGACCAGATCCGCCTCTGGCAGCTCGACACGGACCGCGCCGTCATCAAGGACGGCTACCTCTTCAAGGAGTTCGACGAGTACAAGGAGTACAAGGCCGTCGTCGACTTCGCCGACAACATCGGCGTCTGCGCCTGGCGCAACGACAAGAAGGGCATCTTCTTCGCTACCAAGGTCGAGCAGATAAAGGATTTCATGAAGTCGCGGCGCAAGGCGAACGAGGCCAGCGCCGGCGACGCCTCCAAGTGAGGTATCGACGACGACGACGACGACGACAACGAGGACGTCCTTACGTTGCCCTATCGCCTCCGTTCTCCCTCTTTTTTATTTCACCTCTTTTATCTTCGATCCGCCAACTTCTACTAGCCCCTCATACCCCCCCCCCCTTTTTTTTTCCTACTTAGTCATAATCGCCCCTTTCCATAGATCCGGTTTCGCCATTACGGTCGCGTCATATTATTTGGGATAGGAGTTTGGTTTTTTTTTGGTCAAGGGGCCTCTGCATCGGGACCTGACGGAGTTGAGCATGTTTTGTTTTTTTCCGAATAAATTGAGAATGAGTATACGGAGCCTGAGTGACCCCTGCGCGGCCACGCTGGGTTAAAACGCAGAATGGTCTTCCATTTTTACGTTAACGATTTTACGAGAACCGCGAGCATACTAGAGAAAAAGAGACAGGGTCATATCTATAAACTTATGGTATCTGAATCAGTCGGTGACCCGACCTAGTCGATCGCGACGCAGCAATGATTGTTCGACCCTCCGCGTCAAGTAGGAAAAGGTTATCCTCCTATGCTACACCCGCAGTACCCGTACGCGCCCAGCTAATGCTTCCAGGTCCAGATCTGTACACAATTCCGTTTGCGCGGAATTTTCCCATCGTAAACCGAACTAAAAATCGACCGCCTAGGATTCTTATCTTATACATTTAGTCGTTCTCGCCTCTTCCTCCCTTTACCCTCCACCTTTCGTACCTCTTTCCTAGAGCAGACGTCCCAAGTAAACTGGCGGCGACAAACATCCATCAGACCCGAACGGGTCTTCAATACCCGTTCGATCTATCTTAGCGATATCTTACGATGTTGTATAGTTAATGACCCTTCTTACCACCATTAAAAAGTCGTCCAACCCATCCCCTGGTCTTCCCATCCGCGAATTTGGCTTTCGGTAGTAGATACGGCTTGCCCATGCAACGGGCGTAGTCGTTTTGCCAGGAATGCAAGCTTTTACGCGCCTCGTTCGTCACACACAGTGTCTCTAGGTGCAAGAAAGCGCGCCTGGCACGACTATCTTCGTCTGAGAGCAAAGTCGCCGCCTCCGATGACAAACCAGGCTTTAGGAAGCTTGGTGACGCGGCTGCGGCTGCGCCCCGACGTTGCCTCCGTTCCGACCGCGGGATAGGCTTAGCGGATTCGAGTGCCGAGGGCGTAACACCGGAGCCCGAGACACAGGTCATGGTGTGTGAGAGGGGAAGTGAGATTTGAGGCTTGCCCCCTTTTCCCGGTGGGATCACGGGTTTCTCTGTGTGGGCGTTAACTGCTGCGGAAAGAGCTCCAGGAAGATTCTCGGACTTGAACCGATCCATTAGTGCCGTGAAACGGCCGGCCCAGTATGCCGAATCCTGTGCCGCATAAATCAGCCGCACGCCATTGAGACGTGATGGAGGGCTGAAAGCTGGACTCTGGGCCCTCGGCGTACTCGCAGGACCTACGATATAGTTTCTAGCATCGGTAGCTATTCCTATAGTGCCGCCACCAACTGTTTGCGGTAGCGATACGTCGTGCGCAGCCTCGCCATGAGAGTGGAGGTCGGCACACGTGGTTGACCGCGCAAAAGGGGCGGCAAAGTTGGACAACATATTGCCAAAGGTCCGCGCTCTGGGAATTCCGTCTTGCTGCTCCAGTCCGGGCTTCGATATCGATATGTCCATCGGTGGGACCCTGGTGTGGACGGTGTCCAAACTGTTCTTGTTCTTGGCGCTGAGGCCACCTGTCGGAATATGAGGCGGAACGTTCTCTATCCTGATATGAGGAACGGCTGTTGCGTTCATGCAAGCGGCTGCTGTCGACGCCTTGGTCGAAGACGCATCGGCTGGCGCTACGCGACTCTCGCCTCCGTTATACAGCAACGGAATCGGCAGGTCTCCGGTCGCAGCTACGGGTCTCGGGGATGGTCCTACTGGCACATCAAGAATACGGCGAGGCATGAGCGAAGTCACAGGGGGGTCGGTTGCGATCGGGTTGCTAGTCAACGGACCCGGGTGGTTGTACGCAGGGTGCTCGGGGTCAGTCACGATGGGGACTGACGAATTCGGTGTCATAGGTTGTCCAAGCGACGACGAGCTGGCCGAGTTGAAGTCCGCAGAGAGTCCCGGAGACGATGTTGACATCGGTAGACGATCTTCACCACCAGTGAGGGTCGACGATGAGGCAGTCGGCTGCGGGGTATCGGACGAGTCTGGAGACGACGTCGACGGTCGAGCTGGTTGTCGATATCGCGTTAATGCGGCAACACTCGTGCTCATCGGCAGCCTGCTACGGGTCATGTTTTGTCCTCCAGGTCCGCAGATAGCAGGGTGCGTTCTGAGTTGTGCTCGTTGACGTGGGTGGTCGGTCTCAGGAGGCTGGAGGGGTGGCGTGGATGTTGAAGCTAGGCTGGATCGGCGTTCAGCTATTCGTATTCCTCGATGCCCCGTCGAGGACCGAGAGCCCCTAAATGACGAAGCCATGGCCGCCGGTCGCTGCGGGGTGGAAAGGGGTACGGACAGCTACGAGGGTGGTAAAGCACGTCCGAATGCTAAACAGACTAACGGTTGTTCCGAAGTACAGCCCAGCGGGCTTAGCGAAGCAGGAAAGTGTGCCTTCGGCGAGGGAACACGCGAGAACCGCGGACTCGTAGCGGGTGTGTATGGGGATGGGATATTTTAGGAGGGGGGGGCTGTTGGAGGATGTGCGGTCTTGGTTTTGGTTTTGTTTGGGTGCTCGCCGATATTTTTGTTGCCATGAGTGCCTAGGAAACCGAAGGAGTCGAGGGGAAACAAAATCTTTTGCGCCAGAGGCTGTCGAATCCATACACGTCGACGGAAAAGCTCAGGCTCGGGCAGTCGATATATCTGATGTTGTTGCTGTTGCTGCTGATCAGGAGAGTGGTTATACTAGCGGCAACGATAAGCCCGACCTCTGTTAGATATTCCGAATACCATAAGAGGGAGGCTCCCCAACACAGGCTGAGCCAGGTGGTGGATAGCATCAAGCAGGTTGGGTGATTTGGTTGGGAGGGTTGGAATACCATCTCAGTTGCCGACGTGATAGATCTGGATGCCGCAAGGGCACTACACGGAGGTGATGGCCTTGAACCATCATAGGTAAGAAGAAGATACCGTTGGACTGGCAGCAGCAGCTCATTCGACAGGTGCCCGGCACGCACCCCCTTCCCTCCTTGCGTTTCCAAGGCAGCATGCGGTTGCTCTTCCATGTCGGGAATGTACGGATATACATCGTATCTCGGGACGCGCCTGACGCAGTGAATAAGAGGTGCCTGCCTCTCTATCATAGGCTGTGCCTGCCTGCCTCGAAGGTTGCCTAGGAGGTCCCTAGAGGTAACTACCTCTTCTACTTAGGTAGGTAATGTACTCGAGACATCTTTCTTCCTCGACGGTTGCGGTACAGAATCCGTACCCGCCCGTCTCCTCGTACACATCTTGCCAATTCACTCTTGGCTGGATTGCCATGGTTGCCCCGTCCCCATCCTCGACCCCCTTCGCCTACGGCTACGTCATGTCTTAGTCCCTGCCTAAGGTCCCTACCTTTACATATACCTGCACCGCCATGTACACGTGTATCACCTCCTACCTGCCTACCTACCTAGGTACCTAATGTACCTAGCCTAGGCATTTGAGTACCTCCGTAATCTTCAATTCATCAACGGCTCACATCAAGTGGGCAGAAGGTTCGGGGAGGAGGTACCTGGTACCTTAGGTACTTGGGTGCCTCTTCGGAGGCGTTGCCTAGGTACCGATCTCCTCGTTCTTCTTAGCATGATGGTAACCGTGGTCCGGCGTGGGAATACTACGTTGGCGTTCCAGTTTTCCTTTGGTATTAACAACCAACCTTTCACGCACAGGTAGGTATTTACTTCCTCCGTTATTATAATAGCGAAAGTGTACCGTACACGTCGACAACTTCCAGGTCTAGTGCGGGTTCGGCAATCCGAGCAGCTTTATTATATTGGCTAAGCGGTGGTATATAAAGTATGTTATCCAGGAGTTTATGTATAAGGCCGACGGCCGCCTGGGTAGGTAGGTGTCGGCCGATGGCACGCCTCTTGGGAGACCTGTGGGTACTCTATGGGTTGGCCAGAATCCGAGTCCGTCCCCATCACTTCGCTAACCTTCTATCTTAAACCTGAACGTCTCGTCCCCCTTCCCCCTCTCGATCGGGTTTCCGTGAGCGTCCCATAACGCCCGCTCCGTATACGTGATGTTGCCTTCCCAGTCCAGGAGGATGACCGTTTGCCTCTGGGTACCGTAGGCGCCCTTCATAAAGAACCCGTGGGGATCCTCGTAGTCCTCGTGCAGGGTGTGGCCCTGGACCTCTTCGAATGCCCCCCTCCGCCTGCCCTCGTCCGCCGCATCCGCCATGTCCTTCCACCCCTGATCTTCGGCAAAGCTGCGGATAAACACGGACCGTCGGAGGGCGTCCATATTTTCCTGGAAGCTCATCTTGGGCTCCGTGGGAAGGGTATCGTGGTCGAGGACGGCGAAGAGCCTGCCGATCAGCTCCTCTTCGCTCAGGTCTTTCTCGGCCGCGTCCCGGATCGCCTCCTCCATAAGCTTCTTCCCGATAGTAATCTTCTCCCACGTTTCGGGCACGGCGTAGACGGCGTTGCTGAGGCCGTACGTCTGTCCCCGCTCCTTGCCGATCCACGGTACCTCGCCGACGTGGTCCCACCGGTTAGAGATGATGGCTAGCGGTTTGATACCTTCCTCCGTTTTCTCCTTGAGATCGCCGCAGAGTAGCGAGAACCCTCCAACGCCCTTGGCGGCGCGGCCTTCCAGCATGGAGTTGACGAAATCGTCTAGGCTGGCCTCGGCTGGCGCTCCCAGCCACGCCGTCACCATGGTGCCGCGGCTCCTCACGCCGGCGATGGCGTGGTCGGGATCATCCTCGCTCGACTCGCGGTAGTTTGTCAGGACGGCAAAGCGTCCGCTCTTGCTGATCCCAAGCCAGGTGCCGCGCTCGCGGCGGTACAGATCTCGCGCCGACAGGATCTCCTGGCCCGACGGCTCGTGGATCCACCAGTGCGGTCGGCTAGTGGGCCGAAGTATAAATTCATCTCGGTTGTCGATAGCGATAAGTGCATACTTGGGGTGTGCCGTTGTTATAAGCACGATGCACATGGTGTCAACGAGGATGGTCGGTTTAATGTTGGGTTCGGTCTTTCCGTCTTGCGCAGCTCAAGTTGCCCAAGCAGGTGACAGGTCTCAAGACTCGGGCTTATAAGTATGCGCGGCAGGGGAGGAATATGCGCAGTAGGTAGGTAGGTATGAGAGAGATGGCGAGAATCCTGAATTCCCGTCCTCGCCGCCGCCTCCCTAAAAAGAATAATATCGACGTGAATAGCGCCGTGCCGAGAGCGAGAGAGCAGCAGCCCTTGTCAACCACCCTTCCTGCCTGGTATTCCACCTGGTCCCCCTTGCCTTGGCTCGAACTGTCTCTGCCGTTTGGAAAAGGAAAAAGAGCAACACAAGGTAAAGGAGAAGAGTAAAGAAAGAATCACTTCGAGGCTAGACCATCGACGGGCTCGATTCCAATGGTGGGGTGACACGTCTGGCGAATTAATGCGAGAGGATGGTGGACCGCTTCGGGGATTTCGTTTATTCTCGAGGAGAGGATAGCCCTGCTCGTCACATGTGACTTCGGCTGCGGGCGAAGGCCTGCTGCGCTGTCTGTGTGTTAGCGGAACTAGGTTATCGCGCCCTGGGCCCTAACAACTGGCGGCCGCAAGCCTTTTTTTTTTTCTCTTTTTTTTTCCCCCAGCGCTGCTGAGCTGTCGCTCCATCCATCCATCCATCCGTCCATCCGCCTCAGCTACCGTCCCGCTGGCTGGCGTGCCAAGTACACGTTGGTAGGTCGGATCTCGACATCCCATCCGACCTGTGTGGGGTAATAGCGGGTCGAAACGGGCCACGGCCGAGATCCCTCGGTGGCTTGGATCGGCTGTCGGCGTGGCTGGGACGGTGGCCCTGGCTCGATGCTAAGGTACCCGATGTGCTTATCATTACGTACCTCTAACAAGCATACAGGTAGGCGTACCTAGGTACCTACCTAGACCTCAGGTACCTCCTCTTCCTGCCCCTTTATAGGAGGCAGGTAGGTGGCCAACGGCGAACGACGAGAGTACGTGTAGGTTGCTCGGCTGGCTGTAAGTAAGGTTGCGCTTCTGTTGGAAGGGAATTCATCGGTGACCTCGTCCCCTTCCGTCCATTCACCCTCGAGCCCTATGAATCGCTTTTTCCTCACTTTGCACGTGGCGGTTATCGATGTCTGCAAGGAATATCGCTTGCGTCGCATAGTTTCCCGGTGGAAATGGCTTTCCGTCTTGATTGGTAGGTATTTCATCTCGATTGGTATTCCTGTTGTCGGATAATCCCTCACTCTCCGCCCCCGCCCCCCATTATAGGTACCCCGTCGCCTTGGTGTAGGTAGGTAGGTACCTGTATGTGGGCAATAGAAATCTCGGCACCGGCCTGGATGCCTCCATTCGGCGGATGTGGAGTTCCTAGGCAGCGATAGAGCGTTGACAGGCTGCTAAGAGAGGAGCTTGATATGTACACAGGTACTAAAAGAAGATGTTGTTATTGCGAGAGACGCCTTTACTCGGTGTCCAACGTTTTTAAGAGGGCTTCCTCGCGGCTTATATGGACGCACAGGGACAGTACACCAAGATAACAGGCACGGAATACGAAGCAAGCGCAAAAGGTTAAGGTGGTAATGGGGGGGGACCTAGTTGGCCATGTCGCGACGGATCTCTGCTCTTAGGATCACTTTACATACCGGCGTCTTACGAAGTTGGTTTTGAGCTACGTGTCGACCGAAGGCTTGCACGTGGAGCAATTAAGTAATAGATGGCAGACAGGCTGTGAGTTGGCTGACTAGCTAGCTGGTAGAAAGGGAAGGAGGCGTGGTGCTAGCTGAGTCTATAATACCTAGGTATATCACATTCTACCTCAGGTGCCGGTCAGGAAGACTCCAATGCGAGAGCGGCCGACCAGCTTGCCCCAGTCCGATGTTCTCCTACCCACATCAATTTCCATCCCGCGGCTACACCTCGCGTATAGCTCACTACTTCCTCCACTTCCCTGCGTTCTCGACGCCCTTAGAGACACTCTCAGCGCCGTTCTGCACGCCGGTGCCCAGGGAGCCGAGAGCGTCGCCGACGGGCTTGCCGGCGGACCCCGTGGCGCCGGTTACGGTGTCGCCGAGCCCTCGGCCAACAGCACCCACCACGTTACCAGCTGTACGGCCCACGCCTCCTACCGTGTTGCCCACCGTGCTCGTTACAAACTTGGCCGCGCCCGTGACGCCCGAGTCTTGCTTGCTGGCGGGGTTGGTCTCGAGGGGCATTTTGGGCGGATATTGGGCTATCCGATCTGTTGCTTAGCGCGATAAAGTATAGAGAGTATAGAGAGCACGGAGAGCAGAAAGAGGCAGACGGTTAAAGGCGGTGCTGAGATGAGGGTTTCCGGTTTACTTGCGGCCTTTGAGGTAGGCAGGTTTAGCTTGCAACGACGGACTACGATGACGGACTGCAATGCGCTTTTATGGCTGGGCAAGAAGACACAGATCGGAGCGTTGAGATAAGAATATCAATATGTGCTCAACGCAGCGTCATTACGGACAGGGACAGGGACAAGGGCCAGGACAGGTATGACGTCACCGTAGTTCCAGTCGACATCAGGCAGTCCGAAGCCGTGATGACGTCACGGAGAGCGAGTCGAAACACCAAAGCAAATCTCGAGCGACGCAGAATTCGTCTCTAGCTGCTAGTGTACAAGGCATAGGCCTAGGTAACCATAGGCCTTACTACCTGCCGCACGCAGATGCAGCTAGTCAGATCGGCCCCCATCAGTAAGGCTGCGGACAGCATGGGATACGGACCCGGTCCCTAAAAGATGCTGGGTTTTCCGTAATGGCCTACAAGTACCTACATCCACCACAACCCCCATTCGGCCTACTACCCAACACTATCCCCGACCATCCCTCCTACACGACGAGGACGGGTTTTTAATCCTTGAGCCCAAAAGGCAAAAAAAACCCCTTTTATTTAATAAGGGGGGGAAGGGAGGGAGGAGTTAACAACAATAGGGGCCGATGAAATGTCTATAGGATCGAACGGATACATACCAGGTATTACCAACTTTTGGCGGCAATACCAGGCGCGTGGCTACGTGCCTATCTGCCGGAGGAGGCGGTCTTACCTACATTCGCCGTATACCTCCCTCCCCGGTTCCCATCGAGCTCAGCACCCTCTGTGCTGGAATGGTGCCCCCTCCCCCTTTGGCCAAATACTGCCTTGGTACGGATGAAAGCGGGGCCCAGCCACAATCCAGAAATGGCGGCCTGCCGCGGGAAAACACCTCTCCAGCGAGACTAGACTAGGGCATGCTTCCAGTTCTTTTAAAAGCCCCAACCCCAGCTCTGTCAGCTGCGCTGTTTTCATTCCATCCCCCACATCGACCCGCCTCCTCCTCCTCCTCCTCCTCTCTACGCTTCCGTGATCGTTCATCATACCTAGGTTGGCATCGCTCTCTAGGAGCATCAAAGGCCCGCTGCTCCCGCTTCCGATAAGCTACCAGTGCTGCTACTATCGCATCAGTTTAGCGACGAGTTCGCCAGCCGGGCTTCGAGTCTTTCGCCATTTCGAATACGCAGCTGTCACCAATCTCAGCACCCGAAACAATGACTACCGCCATCGTGTCCGTCGTCTACCCAGCAGGCACCAAGTTCGACATGGACTACTATCTCGCCACCCACATGCCGCTGGTCCAGTTGAAATGGGCGCCGCTCGGTCTCAAGAACTGGAAGGTGATCGAGTTTACCAACCCCGAGGCGCCTTACTCTGTTCAGGCCGTGCTCGAGTGGGAGGACGCGACGCAGTTCGCCAAGGCGTCCGCCACCCCCGAAGCGAAGGAAGTCTTCGACGACATCCCCAATTTCTCCGACCAGAAGCCCACGGTATTGAGCGGTACTGTGAAGGGGGCTCAGAGCTGGTAGGAGGAAGGGCGGGAGGGAGGGGTGCTCCCAGGTCATGAGCTAAGCATATCGACCATGTCGAGGCTGGCGGGGATAGTGGATCTTGCCTTAAAGAAACATAGGTACACAGATTGCTTACTCTTTTCAGGCTTATTTGCGCTACTCCTTTCGCAGTTAGTTTCAGACAAGTAAGCAACTTTCCGAGATAATAACAATGATGAGTAGTGTACTCATCCAGTATTAATAAATGCAGATTAGGAGACGCGTTGGTATAGTAAGCAGTGATGTTACGTAGATAGCCTATTGCACCAAAAGGTGAGGGTTCGTAACAAGTGTTATTTAGTGGAGTTAAGAAAAAAATGGTGCATCAGCCGCGAATCGAACGCGGGGCCCATCGATGGCAACGATGGATTTTACCACTAAACCACTGATGCTTCCGAGAACCCGTACAGGGCTTACCGTACCGGGGACGCGAGTTCTCTTGGCTGACTCTCATGCTGGATTAAGTACGATGGAATTACTAGGTCACGGGATCAAGGTTAGGGTGCCCGTGGACTTACCCGGTCCATCGTGTGCTTAGATTAGGTAATACCAGGACAAAGACCAAGCGAAGGTTCAATTAGGATTAGGTACCCTCCACATAGGTATTCTCACCTACCTACCTACCTACCTTTGTAACCCCCCTGCCATTCTGTCTTTTTGTGTCGCCCTGCATCATGAAGAGTCCAGCCTGCGTCGACCTCGTCTCGGGAGTTTCATCTCCGGCCTAGGACATGGCGATGTTTGCAGCTCCTCCCTACTCGGTGCATCGGCGGCGGAATGAGCACCACGCTCTTACCTAGTCGTAGTATTTCTGATCCACGCCAGCGATGATCTCCTTCTCCTGCTGGTCAACCAACCCGGTACGGAATCTATGGTCTTTGGCAATCCGGGCCCTCGCCCACTCTACATTGCGCCCTTCTTGTCAGCATGCCCTCTTCTCTCGGAGATAGTGAGTAGAAACCACCGACCTTCTGCTGTGACATCGTGCGAGAATGACTCCGCCTCCGCCTGTAAACCGAGCCGCTGCAGCAGCGGGCTCGAGACGGGCTTGAGTAGGATGTTCGCCTCTGGCCGAGCAAAGTAGATGAGACTAAGCCTCGGCTGGTGTGCCTGGTCCTCGGGGGGTCGCACGACACGATGGACGGTGCTCTTGAGGTAGCCGCCGCTCAGGAATTCGAGCGCGTCCGCAATGTTGACGATGATGGCGTCCCTTGGCGACCTGACGTATTGCCAACCGCCCCCCGGCACCTGCACCTGCAGCCCGGCGATGGGCTGGTGGAAGAGGAACGTCAGCGTGTTGTAATCCGTGTGTCCCTTTGCCCAGATATTGCCGGCACGGGCATCGTCTTCGGCCGAGCGCGGGTGGTACTTCATGTATCGTAGGTACTCGAGCCCCTCGGCCTCGTAGCGGTGCCGCTGGACGAGGAAGTCCTCGTCGATCTCGAGCACGTGTGCGAACAAGCGTAGCAGCGGAAGTAACACGTTATTGTGTACTTTGAGCGAGAAGGTCTTGATTTCGTCCCAGTGGTCTCTGATAAGCCGTGGGTGCGGTCGCTCATGCTCTGGTGTGAACTTGGGGATATTATACCGCTCGTCATTGTCGCGGGCCGCGAGCCGGCCCGTCGTCTGCGGCTTGTATCCCCGGAAATCCCCTCTAGCCGTATCGCATATGTACTCGAGCTTCTCCTCCAGTGGGAGCTCGAAGAAGGCCTTGCACAACGCATACTGTCGCCTCACCTCCTCCTCTGCGAACCCGTGGCCGACGACGTAGAAGAAACCTTTAAAGCAACCAATCAATAGGCAGTTTATCTACGGGAGGTGATTCAAGTCTCCCCACCGTTCTTGTTGATGAAGCTCAACACCTGCTGCGCCAACGCCTGCTTGCCCCCCGGCTCGGAAAGTCTGGAGATGTCAAGTGCCTCTAGTTCCGCGTATTTCACTGACGGCCGGCGTAAGATTAGGAGGCATGCACCGCACGGGGCTTGGTATCACTGGTACGCACGTGGTTCCTTTGTCTCGGTTGGGTACTGATAGGATAAATCAGCAGCATCTACTCGTGGTGGTGGCATTGTCACATGCGAAATAGCCTATTCGACTTCCTCTCGCTGGTAACTTGCCGCGTTGCTAGTTGTCTGGACGTGGTATGAAGAGGGACGGGTAATTGATTGAGTATACTGTCGTTCTTAAGGGCCTCTATTAATATCTTACGACGGAGCGGGGAAATTCTCACTCTTATTCGACGTTATGCAACCCCGTGGGATTAGACACGGGATGATGCCATCGTACGCTTCCAAGACGAAAGTCGCTAATAGGATCTAGCCCGGCAACTCCCGAATGTAACTAATAGATTGCTATGCCTAGCACTCGGTTGCCCGCCTATAATACTGTACACAGTACAGTCGTAACTAGCTTCCGGGACGTATTTTAATGCTCATCCCGAACACGGTATTTCGATCGTATCAATGCATCATAGAGGACGAGTAACAGCTTCGGGATGGTGTGAGGCTTACTCGATGTTGAACGGACCTGTAGTGGTGAAAATTGAGGCTCGATGATATGTATTATAGGATCTAGGGGATAAAAGGTTGACGGGGGTCTACTTTCTTGTAGATATTAACCCTCATCGCATCGCAACCACTTAAGGTCTCGCCTCGTTCTTGCGACGCCGAGCTGTCCGTTCTAGTATTGACAATAGGCTCATATCTGCCTACCCAGCCCCGGGTCCTCATCCGGCGAGTAAAACGTTGCGCCTTCGGGTGGTCACTCCTCCCCATTAGCAGTCTTCGGTTGCTAAACATATAAAGGTCAAAGCAGTACGGCGTCGGCATTACCACATCCCCGGCATCACAAAACCCCAATCCGAGAGATACTCTAGCAGTTCCGGGCCGTAAGCGGCGATGCCGTTTCTATTCGTGGAAAGCCAGCGGGTCGTTTCGGTGTCAACATACGCAGCCTCGGTTTGCTAGTAATATTAAGTCTCAAATTTATGGAAATCAATCATTTAAACTCCCCTCCTCACTCCAGGCGAACTTGCCCCAGGCCCAATACGTTTTGGGGCGGCTTCCTTTGAAATGCCATCTATCATCGCTACTGGCGTCGTCTTCGTCGTCTTCGCCTTGAATCTCTTGGAGTTTCGAGTGTAAATAGGCAGCCGACGTACAAGAGTGGTCACGTATGGAGGCCGCCGTTATAATTTCAGTCTCACGTCCAGGAAGGGGATCGCCGTATACGCCGAACGCTTGAGATGATTCCATATTTACGAAAGGGAAGGGGGGGGGGGGGTGTGTCCCGGGAGCTACGGCAGCATAGCCGGGATTGTTACTCGTAATCGCGATTGAATCTAGTTGGAGGTTTGGCTTGCCTCTCGTTCTGTATTATATATCGAGAATAGTCGTCTTGCACACAGAAAAGGTCAAATGTCGTAAGCTCCTGGAGTTGCTTTCTGCAGAAACCTCCAAACGCCTTCTTCTGCAGCCCGATACTCACAAACTGCAATGAATTAAGTTGAGGACAGGAGCATTGCAAGAACACGTCGTCCATGAATGTCAGACCGGGATCCGGCGTTGACCTTTCGAAGCACGACGACAGGTGCCGTAGCGCTGTGGCTGAAGCCAAGCACGGCAGGACGTTATCAAGGTCGTTCCCTTTCTTAGAGTAGTGGCTGATACATAGGTCGAGCGACGTAAGGGCATTGAAAGCACAGGCGTATGCAGGCTTCAGACCGAGACCGCGGCTTATGTACCTACGTTTTTTCATCTGATGAATGGAGAGAAGTAACCTCGGGCTTGGTTTGGCCCATCAACTCCGAAAGCATAAAGGAGGAGAAACCGTGGTTGCCGCCGCCACCGTTCGGGTCGGATTGTAGTATTACATATGGATTTGCCTGAAGCTGGTATCCTTTATAGAGAAATACCCAGTCATCAGGAATAGAACACGAGAGGAATGCCACTCAGATTATACATCTGCTCTAGGGCCCCAGTAAACTGAGTTGCGAAAATTTCGAGAGTATTCCGGCGCCTGTCCTGTAGCTCGCCTGTGCTGCCGAGATCCCTGGGGAGCCAAAATGGATCCGGGTCGCTCGCAACGTCGGCCATTAGTCGGATGACAAGGCATAAGTCATATTCGCTATCCTTTTCAACAATTCGTAGCCCGGTCCAAGCTTCCAGGTTGTCACACGGGGATGGAGCCCTGCACTAATAATCAGGTCATAAAGGTTAGGAGGATAATATCAGGCATTAAGGTCGCCGTCTCGGCGACCTACCAAGAAAAGTCCTAGATAAGCTACGGATAGCTTCGGTATTAAGGTACTAAGATACCAAAGTACGGAGGTACTTTAGGAATATATTAAAATAAAAATAAGACTAGGAAACTTAAGAAAAGTAAGGACCTAAGAGACCCCTTATAGAATTATTAATTAAATTAAACCTATTTTAAGTAAATCCCTTTGTTATAGATAATTTTATATTACTTTTAACCTTATAACTTTATTATAAGTTAATAATAAGAAAAACCTACGCCTAAGTTTACGTTATACGTAGCCGCCGCCTCGATACCGTTACTACTAGATTAACTTAGGCCCTTTACGGAAGAGCTATAAGCGTTCCCGTTCCCGCGGATTACTACCTCCGGGCTAGCGTCGATCTTTATGGCGGAAGTAGCCTAAATAATAGCTACGATTAATAAACTAAAGGCCGCTATAATAAAATTAAAGGCAAAGGACGCCGAACGATAGCGAATCCCTCCGGCGTCCTAGTTAGAAGCGACCCCCGAACCGACCGATAAATCCCTCGTCGTATATTAACCCTAAGAATACGAGGTAGTTATAGCTAATGCTCCGGAGATTACGAACTCGGGAGTAATTATACGTAATCCGCCGTAGTAAATCGTAGATTTATATAAGTAAATAGGATAAGTATATTAAAGCCTAGCGATATTAATTAACTAAGTCGATATAAAATACCGATAAAATACGATCCTAAAGAAATAATACGAATAATTACGATAGCTTTATTAAACCGCTACGGCTATATAAGTAACCGGTATCCGAACTACGAAGATATAGATCTACGAGTTCTAGAAGTAGGTCGTAGAATAAAATACCTACTTCGCTTAGAACGTATAGGAAACGGTAGCTAAGTTTACCCGATAAGATAAGGCACGAACCGCCGCCGTAAACTAACTTAGAAACGCCGCCCTTTAAAACTAACGGGCCTTAATCTAATTACGCGAAAAATATAATAAATTAATAACGGACGTTAGCGTATAAGTTACGTAAAAGGATAAATAGATTAACGAAATCCTTAGTAAGGAATATCTTATCCCCGGGACTATAAAGGAAAAGACTTAGCTAATTAAGAACGATTTTAAGGCTTACGCCGCTAATCTAATTAAGGAATATTAATAACGACGATTAAGTAATAAATTAACGGATATCGAATCTATTATAGCTAAAGCTAGCTAAAGGATTCGAATACTTATCCCTATACCGGTTACTCGCCTTACGACGGTATCTATAGGACGGTATACTAATAGCGAGGCTAAAATAAGGAAGATTATTTCTAACGGCGTACTTTAAGACGCCGCGGCTAAACGTATCGTTACGCGCGTTAGAGCCCGTTTCTAAGACGCCGTAATAAACGCCTTTATATTAAGAGGAGCCGGGTAAGGACTACCGTAACCGCTAAGGATCCCGCGGAATACCTTAAAAGACCTAAGGGATTCCGATAACTCGGACGACTCCGAATCCGGGGACTTATAGAGGCCGCGACGCCTATCGGGCGCCTATAAAGAACCTTAAAAGCCTTTCGACCCGGCCGAAGAACGTATAGTTCGGGCTTAAATTAAAGCTATAAATAATCGACGAAGTATTACGGTAACGATTAACTTAATATACCTTATTAAGCCTACGGCTTATAACGATAAAGACTTAGCTAAGTTCCGGTTATAATAAATTAAGGTTAAGTCCTACCTCGAGACCTATAAAGAAAGTTTTACCCGGAACGTTTAAAAGATTAATTAAATAGGATCGATACTTACCGAAAAGGCCTAGCTTTAGTATTAATAACGATTAACCTAAGTAAAGAGGTTAATAATCGTCGATACTTAAGTAGGATATTCCTAAGCCCTTTAAGAACGATTTAAGGACCCCGCCGAACGATATCGTAACTCTAAAAAAATATAGGAACTTAAGTACTAAGGAGATATCTCTTAGTATCTTACCGAGCTTATAAACCTTAACGACGTCGTTTAATAATCCGGAACTACCTTCTAAAATTATATCGCCCGTACCTTACCCGACGAAATAACTAAGTTAGTTTATTTACAACTAAATAATATCCCCGAAAGCGACGAAGCCTTCCTTAGAATAATTAAAGAAACCGGCTAAATTTATAAAAACATAATAACTAACCTAGGGATTTCGGGAAAAGGAGGATCCGCTTCGTAAAAAGAATATACGAAGGCGGATTAGTAATAAAGGTAACCCGTAAAAGAGACTCGCTTCCGCTTAGGTTAACCGGTAAACGAACGTAAAAGCAAGGAAAATAAGAAACCCGTACCGGCTAAGGACCTACGATAGATAAGTAATAAGAAGGCTTTAGCTAGAATTAACTAGGCCGTAATCGACTAGCGAAAAAAGGATAAGAAAGCTTATTAGCGGTACGGAAGGGATAATTACTAAACCTTAGCTTACTTCGTAAAAAAGGACTTAGAAGGACGGGACTTACCTATATTACTTAAGAAGGTTTTATCGGAAAAGAAAGGAAGAAAGGAGCCCGAACTATTACCTAATAAAAGGACTAGAATCGATATTACTATGCGATAGAAGGAAACCCTTCCCCGTATTATGGAACTATCCGATTCCGATAAAGAACGGGATTTTTAAATACTCCCCCGTAAGCGTTAACAAAAGAAAGGGGTAATAAAAATAATATAAAGATTACGGCTATAAAACGGCTTAGAATACCGGAAGTAACGGAAGTAGCCTTAATAGCGAAGAAACTACGAGTCCCTTAGCGTAACTAAAGTAAACCTCGATCGGATAGACGGCTTATTTATATGTTACGTAGCTGGCGAGAGCTAAGCTTAGGTTAATAGGTTATTCGCAAGGAAAGTAATGGAATAAGGGTAAGAAGGTATATATTAACTAACTAGAAAAGAAGGAAAGCTACTAAAGAGTATAGAGCGATTTATAGGTACATATAGTAGTACTTAGCTAGCTTAGGTAAGCTAGGTAGTTCCTACTAGGGG